CCCCAAACGGGAGTAGATCCCTTGTGCCCTTCCTCTGTGAGGCCCCTGCAGTGGGGTTCCAGAGGGGAATGGCATCTGCAGAGCAGGACCCCACACCTTCCTGCTGCTCCTCCCAGCAATGCTACATGCTCTGGGGATTGGACCACCTTGCTACCCAACAAGACCCTCCAGTGACACACTCCTCAGCAGCAGCAGTCCTTGGCAGGGGTGGGACAAAGCAGGAACCTTTGGAGACACTACTGCAGGAAAAGGCTGGGTTTTCTGTCTGCACTAAGGTGCAGCTGTAGCACCTGCTTTCTTCTTGGGGTAGAATCAGAAGAGCCTGGGCAGCTCACGCTCTCCACGCTGCAGCATGGCATGGCACCACCGCTGCTCCCGGCATGGACAGTGGGTGTCTAGGTTCAACAATGTGTCCTGGTGTAGGGAAGCAATCCATGACAGGCACCATGGAGAAGACAGCATGAGTGACCATCAAAGAAAGTTCTGGAGACACTGGGAGAGTAGCTTGAGAAACCTCTGCTCTCAACATCCCACTTTACTGCCTTTTTTTAACTCCCCAGACTGATGATAATTTCGGAGGAGGCTGACTTGAAAGAACAGAACAAGCTTTTTTTATCCATGAACCAAATAGTTAAAGTGTAAGCATCTTTGCATAACTACAGTACACCATTTCTCCTAAAATAATTTTAAACACACAGCAATAGCACATCCAGTGGCTGGGCAGGGGTTCCTGGAAGCCTTTCATCAGTGGAGGGCTTTGCTATCTTCAGTCAGAAAGCAAGAGGGCAGCAACCTCCAGTTTAACAGTGAGTTACTGTTAACTAGACAGCAAAATCATAAAGCTGTGCCCAGCAGCAAATGCACTTGTTTTTATGTATAAAAAAGAATTGCCAGAACTAAAGTCCCTGTTTTAGTAGCTTTACTTTAATGACACTGCTTGTTTTGGGCCTCGGCATAAAACTTGGCAGACATCTGGGAGGATATTTACAATCAACAGAAGCTAAACCAGCTCTCTTTAAAAGGCAGATATAACTGAGACTTTGGACAGGTTTTAGCAGGGTACAGTTTAAAGTTTATGACCAGAGCTGCTGACACACCACATTGACAGATTTAAAGAGATTGAAAAAAAATAATCCTCACAATATTCACTTATAACCCAAAGAAGGCTGAAAACACTGTTAAATGCTTCTAGAGGAGAGAAATATGGCAGGCCATTGTACAGAGCAGTGACATAGGAGTGATGATGAGTCCTGGAAAGGGAATGGATGATGAGGAGCTAGGAGGAAGACGGAGCTACGAGCAGGAGCCAAAGGTTAGGAAGCTGAGGTGGAAGAGTGAAGAAAAAATAAAAATTGTCTCCCAGTCATCTGAAGCAGTCTCCTCTCCTGTAACAGGGCTGAGGGAGGATTTTTCAGGATCTGTTTCCACACCTTTGTTGCAGATGTGCTGAGTGTCTGTCAGACAGCCCCCTCAGGGTCCAAAAGTTTCGTTCAGGCAGGAGATGTTGAGGTGCAGGTGTGGGGCCAGTGGCATATGAGAGTGAGAGTTGTAGGAGACTTGCTACCAGCTCTTCTCCATGTTTTAGAGAGGAGGCTGTTGCAGCAGACAAGGGGACACCAAGCCATCCTGTTGTGAAAGAGCCATGTGGGAGCAGGACTTTTGATGCAAGGGTGTGCAGTGGCCCATGTGGGATTTGTTTCAACTTGGCGAGTTTGAAGGAGGAGTGACAAGATCGTGGCTCATGTCCTTGCTGCTGGGGCTGTTTTGTGCCCACAGAGCTCCTGCAGTTGCTTGTGCTTTGGGAATTGCAGGAGGGAAAGCCACTTTGAGCCAAGAGGTCCTGACCTCAGAGGAGTGTGCAGATGAGCACACAGATGAGCGGAGGTGTGAGCAGCATCCCCAGTAATCCTGGGCATTCAGCAGCGCCAGCACTTGCCTGTGAGAATGGCTGGGCATTCACAACACAGGTTGGCTGAGGGAAGCTCTGAAGTTGACAGAGCATGTCCCTACCTCATTTCCTACTTCAGTCTGTGGTGAGGTGTTGTCCATGTGCAGTTTCTCTAGGTGTATTTTCTGACACCCACCATGACCCCCCACTTATTGAAAGGGCCCCACGTTAAGTCAGCAGGCTCCTGCTCAGAGCACTTGTCTGGCCAGACTCTGTGCCTGATCCTTGCAGGCTGTTCTACTTGCTTATTAAACTTTGTGTGTAACTTCTGTTGTTACTGTTGTTGTTTTTCCTCTTTCTCTCTGTGATGCCCTACCAGACTTTTAAGCTGGATTTCTTGGTTAAAAGGTATGAGAGCCAGGGTCTGGATAGACCAAGAACATGTTGCCAACTAGAAGAGAGGCCTGGGAGAATTCAGATGGAGATTCCCCCAGTAGTGAACTTTGAGTTGGTGAAAAGGCACAGGGTTGGCCTGTTTATATCATTCATGCCAATGCTGCTTGCCCGTGTGGGTGCCTGCAAAGGCATTGCTCTGTGTCTGTTGATCTGTTTGCAACAGCCTGGTCCTGGGAATGAGGAAACACAGCCACTGCCACTGTATGTTCCAGCATTTCATCATTCAGCCCTAGCAGGAAAGCATCTGTTTCAGGGGCCAAAGCTGTCATCTGATGATCAGTTTGATGTCCAAAATGGCTCCAACTGCCCTTCAGTTTAATTTCTTTGTGACTTAATTATTTGTCTAATTGTTTTTTTTTGCTTAGCTGTCCTTCAAAGTGTATTTGTCTAACTGGTGACTAAATCCACTTGAAAGTCAAACTGGGATTTATTATGGCCAAACCATCTTTCCCATTAGACGCTAGTTCCCCTGATGGGAATGTGGCACGGCCAGATTGCAAGGCACAACCCTACGTGAGCAGGAAGGAAGTGACTGCTAGAAATCGTCCACTCTGCCTGCAAACCAGATCCTTGCTGTTCTCTCAGCTCAGAGGGCAGGGGTAAAATTCACTGCCAGATCATCATCAATACAGGCAGAACGTCATGGCATCTTGGAAGCATGCCAGTTCCTGGATGTGATTGAACTGTGTAAATATTAATCCTCCACTGAAACCTATTGTGCAGATGGTAACTTAACTTGGTACCTTTTCTGCCCACAGGCCATTTCAGGGGGACTCTATGCAGTTAAACACGGGGTGCAGCCCTCTGGATGCCCAGACATTCCCTCATCCCCCAAATCCCTCCAACAGTGAACTTCTCATTCACCTGGAGTCCCAGCTAAGTAGCTCCTCCACTCGCATTTCATTCCTTCTTTTCCTCTTTGCTTTTGTCAGTCAGAGCACTCTCATTTTGGCCTGGGTAAAGGTTTCAAGGTCTCCCTGCACAGGGGCAGGACTGGGGAGGTGCCTTGACACTCATTAAGCAACTTTACAAGAGGCCTCAGAGGGCACCTGCACCACAGGGTTATGTCTGCTGGCTGGGGTGCCACACCCACAGCGTCCACACATCTGTCTGGTGTGACACCAAAGCCTCTAGCACTGCTCTGCTAAGAAGGAGGATCGTAGTTTTACCACAGCGTGCTTCTTCCCAGTTACTGGAAAATTAGATCATACTCCCTTTCAGCATTATCTACAAGGATGAATTTTTTGGTCACGTCTCCTGAAATAAAAAGTTCACCTAGCTCACTGTATGCTCGTCTCATAAAGGTGTACCAGAAACCCACCTGCAGCATTTGGAAGGACTTCACCATATTCAGCCCCCACAGAGATTCCCCAAGCTCCTCCAGGTACATGTGTTTTACCCAATGGACAGCCTGGCTGGCTCCTGTAATTGCATATTTGAAATAGGTGCTGGGTTGCAACACGCATATGTTGAAAAAAAGTGCATACAACATGAAGAGCAGCATGTTTTAGTGTACCACACCACCACTAGGGCCTGAAGAAAGACTAAGTGGAAAATGCTACTTCACTTTCTCCAGTTAACAGAGAAAGGACATTTTTTTCTTCCATTTTTAAGGCAAGCTAGTAGGCATAATGTTGGTTAAATCATGGACACTTCAGTTTTGGGTGTTCTGTTGGGTTTTTTCCTCTCCACATGAAGGTCAATATTTTCTTAGCTTCCCCTCGTTTCCCAGAACAGTAGTCCTGAGCTGAGGTTTTCCATATATGTTTTTTAAATGTGGTTGTAGCTTTTTGAGCCTGGGAGTTTTTTGCTTTGCAGCCCAGCAAGGAATAAAAAGGTTTCCCCTGGGATAATAGGGCAAACCCAAGCCCTGCCCTGCCCTGCAACCAACTATTAAAAAGAGTGGGCAGAAAAAATTGCTGCATGCCAGAGGAAGGGTTACTGCAGCAGGGACATCCTAAGAGGAGGTGTCAGGCTGATGGACCCATCAGCCATGACAGGCAGGCCAGGAGCTGGAAGGGTCCTGACCTCCATGCAGGGGTGCATTGTCCACTCACAGTGGGGCAGAGTTTCCATGTGGGCTCTGCTTCCCGGACAGCCCTTCCCCTTGCCCCAGCTGATTCCCTCCAAGCCGAGGTGCACGGCGTCTGGCCCTTGGGTTGGGCAGCCTAGGTCCACCACTGCTCACCTGAGCCAAGCACAAGGGGGCTGTGCATGGGCCTGTTCCCCACAGCCTGAAAACACCAGGACGTGTTTTTTCCAAAGGAACACAAAATAGGGCAACCGATTGTACAAAACTACTTTGGAAAATCTCTATCATCATTAAAGGAACTCACATAACAAAAACACTCAACACGCTACGGTGCTATCGCAGAAAGATTTTGCCAGTTACAGTAAGCACTACCCACAGGAATAAGGGTTCTACAAGTGGTTGAATGTTGCAGGGGGGCAAACCTACTGCGCAAGTGACACGTGGGAACTAAAACCTGGGAAGTAACACTGCTACAAACAGAGCTACCCTCTCACACAGCATGACCCAATCTCAAACAGAAAGGCTACAGAATACCTGTAAAACTAGTGCACACTTGAAACAAAGTGTGTTTGTCTCTGCAGAAGTGTATTTCGCTATTTTTAAAGCATGACTGCTTCACAAACATCCAGGGTAGAAGAGATGTTGTATTTTTTCACAGACAAATTCTAGTTACAGATCTCTGGAACTTGTAAATAATACTTAGAATACAGAACTTCAAATCAGTGCAAAATGTACAGTTGAATTGAATTAAACACAAAACACATATTGCAAAATATATACAGAATTGTTCTAGGAACATAACCAAAGGACAAACAGATGAAATATAAGAGAGAGTCCATTTTTTTATAAATTACTTTTTTAAAACCAATTAGTACACTAGATATGTTATTTGTAGACAAGTTACCACAGCATAGTGACGTGTCTCATTTGCAAGGCAGACACTGAGAAACACGTTACATCATTAAAAGCCTGTTTCTGAGACCAATTCACAAGTAAACATGTGTGATAAAGCATTACTGGTTTGAGGCACACTATGTGGAAACAGTTTTCAACCACTTTAATGCTTACATAGGCTTTTTTTTTTTCCTTAGAATTATTAGGCAGATGCACAAAGAATAAGCACTAGACGATAACTGTTCAATGATCATCTTGCCTTAGCTTGTTGGCCCAAGATAATTTATTACCAATGTATTAGAACATTCACAAGAAACGCTATAAGACATCTTAGAGTATCTTGATATTAAAATGGCATTCATAAAACTGCTTGAAGTTGGATGATGTAAATAACCAGAGGTGAAAAAACAGTTATTTAAGCAATAGTTAAGCCATAGTTTGAGAAGAGTTAAGACGTCGTGGGTGGTTCATAACAGGAGGGACGCTGAAATCTATAGCGAATTACAAACTCTGTGATGCTTTGCATTGAAAGCAGAGATGGTCCCTTCCAATAATCAGAACTTGCAGCTTCAAGGTATTGATTGCTACTATCTACACCATTGCTAATTACACTATCCCAAGGATAACTTGCTTTTGGCATGTTCAGAAAGCTGGAGTTATACAGCTATTGCTATGCTACAGATCCCCAGAATTTTGCTTTAAAATAGCAGTGAAGGCTTTTATAAGCACCTAAAATTACACAATAAATACTCAGTAATTCTTCAAGCACCTCTTGCTACCCAATTTGGCAAGATCAGCAGCACAAAGGAAGGGATGCCACGGCGAGGCAAGCTGTGAACTGCTGGACACAGGCCCATGTCGATTTGCGCCTGCCTTCCTCCCGAAAGCAAAAGGACCGATGGGTGGCACCCCCGGGACAGTGAGAGAGGACTGTCAGTGCCAGACAGGCACCGGGCTCCTCACCTTCCTGCAGCCAGGCCAAGGGCGGGCTCTCTGCTCTTCAGCCTGCAGTGACCCGCGTGGGGGAAGAGTTCTGCCTCCTGCAGCTGATGTCTACAGATCAGGAGTTGCTGCCAGAGGTGTCGTACGGGATACGCACAATGTAAATGAAGCCACATCTTCTGAAATCAAGTCATCTCCTAAATAACACACTTGAGCTGTGCACAGTGACGTGTTAAATGGGTGCGTTGCTAGGAGAGCTCGGAGGGGTCACTACACCAGTAACAGTGCCCTGTTAAAAAATACTTTGCTTTGGGATACATCTTAATATCTACACACATTTATTTCAAGACTTCAGACCAACTTCTTCAACAACACAGATCTGCTTATAAAACTTTCTCATAAATTATCTTCGCAAAAAATAAAGTCAATCTTTCAGAAATCATGTTCAATACAACACTTCTATCAGTAGAAATTCTGTCGTATGAGTCCATGGCAGAAAAGTCATAATCCACATTTAAATCTCTCCAAAGGGGCATAACCATGAATCTAAACCAGAAGGCAACTACTTCATTAATTGTCACGGGAAGCAGAATCAATGCTTCCAAAACACAGAAAGAGTGCACTGTTTCATTCACCGACGTGTATGGGTTTACAATCAATAGTCACTGTCCTGTAAACACTGAAACTGCTGGTCTAACTGCAGGTTAAGATTAGTAATTTGCATTCATTTCACTGTATTCCACACATACAATGGCTACACTGTTAAAAAAAATATACATTAAATAGCAAAACGAACAAAGGCTTTGAGCTGGATCTCTCCTACAAGCCAAGTGTCAAATCATAAATGTTGACATTATAAATAAAACTTCAACATTACTTCTATGCACTATAAAATCAGCCTAATAAACCTACACCTTAGAATAGCAGCCAATTTGTAATTGTTTAAAAATACATGTGAACTTTCAGTCAGTCAGCTATAAATACATACTGCGATGGAAGGAAGATACCATCTCTCATCCCCGACCGGTTTTCAAGGAGAACACAGTATTAAGAGATGGATGGGACAAAGGAACGCTGCAGTCAGAGAAACTCAACAGTTGCAGTCTACAACAAACTTGTTTCCATTGTTACCTGAAAGTGCATCTTTGTATCTGTAGAATCATCCCCATATTTACAAAAAAGTACAAACATTGCAATTTTGCCACACTCTTAAGCGTATCTAACCTGCATTTTCTGTTAAGTGCAAAAAGTATATGAAGTGATACATGCAGTGGTGCATATAAGATCAAAGCCTGAAAATGAGGCAATGCCATCACCATGAATCCAAGATAGTTCAGTAGTTGCCAAGTCTTGGCCGCACAGATGTTAAATGGCTGAGTTAGTAGAAATCAATGACCGGTCTAAGCCCAATAGCCAGGGTGATGTTTGAGAGCAGGTTTCTCCATTCCCTGCTCTCCACACAGATTCACCACCATGTGCTCGTACCTTTGTTACCAGTTCCAGTACAAAGCTGGGACCAAAGGGCAGGAAGCCAGCCTGGCAGTAGAGGAAAATGCAGTTACTGTGAAGGTTGTATGGAAGAGGTACGAGGCGCAGACTGAAAGAACATCTACTGCCAGGTCCCTGGGTGCACAACTCCAGTGCTCCCCCAGTCTCAGTGCCAGAGCTGGGACTGGTGCCCGTGCAGCACAGGGCACGCCTGCTCACACGGGCAGGACGTTGTAAAACACCTGCATAGCTAAATCTGTTGTGTCTTCAACGTTAAGTCCTTCTGAAGTGTCTCAACAGCTCCTCTTACCTTCTCCTCCCACAAGACGAGGCTTCATTTGATAATGACCCATCGTATGCCAACAGACTGCTGCTGAGTGACGTGCACGCATAAACGCTTCGCGATTCCAAAGAGCTGATGTTCATAACAAGCACATTATTTGCTCTTTAAAGAAATGCAACCTGTACAATACTTTTAAGAGGGTAACTATGAAGATTAATGAACAATTATATAATGGTTCATTTAGCTTTGTTCCATATTTAAGTCTTGCAGTGGGCTATGCTACAGCTTCTAGTTTTTAAAATGCTACAACAGCTATTGCCATTGATTTTAGATGCACACAGACCTCATTAAAATCTAGAAAGAGCAAGAGGAGTTCAAGCTGTACGCGTGCAGAAGCTGTACTGTAAGCGCAGTTGTGCTTTCACTATATTGCCATCGTGTCTCGCTGGAAAGGACAAGTCCATTAGAAATATGTGCTGAGAACCTCAGTGGGACCAATAAGAAAGCAAGCTCTGCCTCCTGCCTGAAACCGGTGAGAGAACGATCCAGAAGTGAGTGCTCTCAGAATGCTGCAACGCAGCAGAAGCTGCACAAGGAGGCACCGTGAAAGCAAACAGAGTAAGGCCAAAGGGTATGTGCATATGTATGCATACACATACATCTACACACACACATATATACGTAAACAAAAAATTTTGGCAAAATAACACTGTTTCATTCAAAAATCAATGCAATGAAAACAGCAGCAGTTTAAACTATACAGATCAAGTGTAAAAGCCATGGAGAAAAAAGCAGCAAATTTTCTGAAGTAGCACCTGTATCTCAGGGATGAGCGTCTGACGTTCAGTTCTCCTAACTCAAGACAGAGGCAATGTGTTCACCCCTCAAACCAGATCTCAACCAACTGGCCACCTTCTCTTGTCTGCAATAGTGGGGTATTTGGAACACACCATGATTTTTGGGGCCCTTTGCTGGCAAAGCCTCGTAGGACACTAGTAAAGGGCCAGGAGTGGGTACCTCAGCAGGAGATGCTGGCTGTGCTGTCGGTGCCTGCCATGGGTTACAGGCACGGTGAGAGGGCTGGGCAGCGGAGAGAGGATGGAGGAGTGCACTAAGGACAGCAACGAGCCTGCATCTCCTCCCTCACTATGGAAGTTGGTCAGTACCAGCAAGCTTAAAGCTTACGCATGCTTTCTCTAACAAAAAGTCAAATTTTCCTCTCCATTACCGAGTCAGCAATTGGAAAGAAGACCATGCATTCTTTCTGCTGCCCTGAGGGCACAAAGCAGTTTCTCTGGCCTTCTGGACAGTCATAAGCAGCAATCTATTTCAGATTTCCTCTCTAATTTGAGAGCTCCATCCTGAGAGGGCATACCCTGAAGTACAAGACTTCACCCTTCCTACTTGTAATGCTGGTAGCAGGATGCCCGAAGAGCGGACCCTTCATGCCCAGGTTCTGTAGCGGAGACAACCCTGTGTTTAAAGATCAGGAGATGAGCATTTCAGCTCTGTACTATCCACACTAACTCCTTCATAGCATGAGTCCAGTTCGCATGTGGATTAAAACGATACATTTTAGTCCACATGGTGGCAGCTCAAGAACATCCCTAAAATTAAATTAACAATTTGAACAAGCCTCATTGAAAACAGGAGTCTGTCCTCCAAATGCATCTCTACCAGAACAGTAAGAACAGAAGGAACCACGGGACAGGAAGAAGAGGCTGCAGAGGGCTGCCATTTTTGCACGGCTGTTTTGTCTCTGTTTACAGCTTTAGCTGTATCATTCTGTGGCTACAGATGACTGTCTTGCAAGCCACGTTCACACCCTCATCTGCACCACAACTGGAAAGCAAAAAGCACAGGCAATGATCAGGTGTTGCTGAAGAACTGTGCTTCGAGTACAGACTGATCAACAAGACCCACCAAGAACTGCCTCAGCACGTAACTGGCTCCAACACAAAATGGCTTTTGCATATTTCAAAGCTACACTGAAGTCTTCTGAAGCGGCTGGAGATGTTTTTGTAGACACATGGGCAAGAGAAATGCTCCTAAAGCTGCCATTTGAGTGATGAATTCATGCCATCCATAGCTCAATCAGCTATTGCCATGCAATAGAGGACAAGTAAGCCCACTGGCTACCTGAGTGGGGCTCTGGCCAACACGGCTCAAGGAGCTCCAAGTGGCAGGTGCATACAAGTGGCAAAACTGCACCACAGCTGGCTCAGGGCTCCTTGAGTATGATGCTGACTTGAAGTGAAAGGTTCGCTTGAGGACCACGGGAAGATGAGACCAGCAGGGAACTGAGCGAAGACTAATACAACTATGGCCATGGACAGCAGATACAAGTAGTGTATGACAGGACCAGCACGTCTGCTCTGGACAGTCATAAGCAGCAATCTATTTCAGATTTCCTCTCTAATTGGTGAGCTCCATCCCGAGAGGGCATACCCTCTCAGGAAATACAAGACTGCTATAGCGCCAGTCTCTAGCAGGAAGCTGTAGGAGAAGTACTGGATCCTCAGCAGATGGGTAAGCACAGAGAGGTGATCTCGGTCTCACAGGAGCTGACACAGGAGCAGCCTCTGAAGAGCTCATCCAAGTGAGAAAAGACAGTCACTCTGTCCCTGGGCCCACACCTGCTAACAACACCCACCAAGGACTTGAGAAGGCTGACCAGGTAAGTGAGTTTTCATGACAGCATTGCATTCCCAGTTACCTGAAGCCTACAGCATGTTATATGCACATGATAGGCTTCAATACCTCCTAGGGCTCCTCAGCAAGGCTACACTGCACTTCAGCTCAGCTCTAGTATATGACTTTGCTAATTTACTTAAATGAACACTAAATGATACTTCTTTTATCCTAATAAGTGGTAATTCTTTTAGTCTTTGAGCTTGCTGTTAAACAACAGTCCAACTGTGACAAATTAATGAAAATGAAACAGCACAAGTAAAGACAAGCAGAAAAGCCTGGTGTCAAAGATAATGGTTTCAATGATAGACAAAAAGCTGTGTAATGTAATACTGCCTCGGGTATTCTGTTCCTTTTTTATGTTAGAGTGGTAGCTGCTGAAATTCAAAGGTCTTTTAAAACGGGCTTTGGCTGAATAATATAAGAGAAACTAAGCTGCAGCTGAAAACTTGCTCTACAAGCTGTTTGCCCTTCATTCATACTGTCCAAATACTGCTGAAGTAAACTCTCTTGAAATATTTTGAGTCAACTGTTCTAGTACTTTCTCTCTTCCCAGTGCACAGGGCTCCTTTTATAGAAATAATCTCTCCTGTGTTTTGTATTTTTCTCTTTACGGTAGTACTGTTTCAGCTGTGCTATTTGAACTGATCCAAGGAGTTCTCAGCAGCTCATGTCTGTGCCTTTTTTTGGTTAGGAGGCTACTGTGAGCATTAATTTAAAGGAACACATTTTCATTTTTGGAAAATACATCAAAATTTGTCTGTGGAATGATTTTCTTTAAGAAGAAGCTGTGAGGAGGGGAAGAGTCTTTGTGAAGGTAAATGCAGAAATCTCAGCATCTTGGAATCTCTGTTTGGCTTCAGTTTCTATATATATGAAAAAACGGGAAATGGCTTACGGAAAAGCAACCCAAAGCAAACATTTCAGATGAGACAAATGGTACCTAACAGTTATTTTTAACAACGAGGCACTATCTCTGAAAGACGAAGGAGAACCCAGTACTATCAAAATGTAATGAAAGGCACGCTCATAAGCTAAAACCCTCTCCACTGGCTGTCTGCACTCGATTGTACTGAACCATCTTGGCATCTACAGCAGGAGCGCGGCATCGCTTCTGAGCATGGGTCTCTGCTTAGCGTCCTCCTTCAGAGCCTGACATACTATCCACTCTCATCTCTTTCAGGCTTCCAGTTTTTTTCTGCTTCTGCTTGGATTTTTTCAACATATGAACCTAAAATAGAAAGTTTTAAAAGAGAGTGAGTACTAAAATAAGCAGATCTATCACCTAGTAAGCAGATCTAAGGCAGCTAACTAATAAACAAGTAAAATGTTGGAACTGCAACAGAAGAACATTTAAATACAGAACTATCTGAAGCACCTAGCCTTATAAAGCTGTAAGATTAAACGTTTTTTTTACATAAGCATATATACATAGGTATGTATATGCATATAGATGTGTAAGGATATGTATGTGTGTACATATATATTCATGTACACACTTACACATATATACAGATAACACTATTAGTCACTAACCTGATAGAAAGATAGAAATATTTCTCACTGGAAGGACAAGTTAGGTTTGTTCTCTCTCTCTTTCTCTTTTCCCCTTTTTCTCTCAGGAAAAGAACAAAGTTTAATATATTCCAAACCATCGGAGGTATGACCCTGTTTTAAACAGGCACTGATTACTCCAGAGAATCTTCTTCTCAGACCCTCCTCCTCCATTATTCAGTCTTCTCTGCTGCTGCTCTCTGACAGCTCTCCCTCCTCCAGCACCACCAGCAGACTGCTTCCTGCCCCACACACTGCAGTCCTACCATGGCCCTCATAGCTGTGATCTGCTTCAGGGCAAGCAGAGAGAGCTCAATACACGGGGGAAAAAAAGTAGAGTCACTAGGCTGAAGCTCGGGGACTACTTTTTTTCAAACACAAGCCTCATTCCAACCAGTGGAGGGCTCTCAAACCATCCTCTGTAAACTGCTATGTATTTATCCAACAGTTACTACACGGTGCCAACAAACTACTTTGAAGTTAAGCTTCAGAACACAACAGACAGGCAAGGTAGTACGGTCATACCCACTGGAGAAACAAAGTCAGCTTGTTAAGACAAACCTACAGCCAGTACCTTTGGTCCTGCAGCAGAAATAATAATCTGGCCAGGGGCCTGAATCCAGGGCTCTCCATCAACTTGAACTGGAATTGGCTTTAGGAGTGTTACACGAAAATACGAGCCTTGGGCTATGCGGATTCCTGATCGAAAACCACCTTGGACTTGACCCTGTTAGGAAGTAAAAGCCAGGATATCACTCACCCCAATACACAAGACACACAAATATTAGCCACTCTTAAACTGGATGGGTAGAATTTTACTCTCACCCGACAAAATATATTTCAAGTAAAAGAACTGCTTAGGCAAAATCTGCATAGGATGCCTTTACTGACACAGCATTAATTACTTAAATTAGTGCATGAAGACGACCTCGGATACCCCTGCAGGCTGTCTGAGGCAAAATAACTTACACAGTGAAGTCATTTGTGCACTCAGGTTGGCCAATGAGCATGCAAGGTCATTTGCTTTTACTTCCCACCTCCATAATGTAAAAAGCACATTTTCAAAACACCTAACTGTGCACACGTGAAACACAGAAGTCTTTTAAAAGCACATACATACACTCAACTGCATATACATATACTCAACTACAACAAACAGCTGACTGTTAACTGTAAAACATGAAGCAAAATGAAGTTTACTGCTACACATTCTCTTGGGTAATGTGTACAGACACAAAACATGGGGGTAAAAACCTTAACAGAAAAAAAGACACAGCATGGGTTTGTTAGCATTTATATTCCAAAGCAACAGGTACACTCCTTGTTGCTTCTAACTTCACAAAAAGTTTAAGGGTCTCTATCAAACCACTTCTTCTAATGGAATGCTTTGTATTTGTCTTCTTTATAAGATGGTACAATGCAAAACAGTAAAGTTGGCCAACACCAAAAATGGAGCTGCACTAACAATTTTAAGCACCCACTTTTCCATTTTCCATCAATTAGCTGTCTCTGGTTACCTGACAACATGTACTTCTTTGGCAGCAGATTTCTTAAGATAGTGAAAGAAATATGATGAGAAGACAAAAATCACCTGCTATCCCACAGGACGGTATTGCTAACAGCAGAGTATTGTAAAAATACGTAATACATGGAAGAACTATTGCACAAATTGATTTATAATACTCTTTGCAGAACTGGCATACCACCTGCCCCATGCAGCATTTGGATCAAGAGCAGCTAGCATCAGATTCCCAAAGACAGGTGTTGGAAAGCCTATGGGAGATAATTACAAAGCCACCAGTCTAGGAGGAATCTCTGTCCTGAATGTGAAGAGGTATGACAAGATTTTTCGCAAATACACAAAGTGAAGAGTGGGTATTTTTGTAATATTAAAATAAAATCTTGTTTTCATCCCATGAATGGTTGGGTTTTGACACCATGATATGAGGTATTTGACACCTGTTACAAGAAAGCTAGTACATCCCATAATACATATATATATGTATTACATATATATAAACATATACATATTTGCATTTCATATATATGTATACATGTATGTTTCTGGCCTTGGTTCAAAGCGTGTTTAAGTCAGTAAGCATTTCCCAGTGCACTTTTAACAAGTGCTTCACACCCTTATTACTACGTCTTATCCAACCACAGGTTTCCTTAGTTTCCACTCCATCTGCTGTAATCCAGCCCCTAAATACAGATCTTCAGGGCAGGCCAACAAGCAGGCAGTGAGGGGGCAGTGAGTCCATGCAGAGGCATTCCAGCTGCAGCCAAAATCCTGACATCGGAATGCTTTGTTCACAGACAACCCACGCTGCCAGTGAATTCTGTTTATAGGCTATAACCACTTCTGCGTGATGTAACAAGTACCTGAACAAATGATGGTAGAACCTAACCCAGATGCATACTTTTTAGGACTACGCACTTGCAGTGCACTGTTTGTTACAAAAGTTAACCAGCCTGAGGAAACGTATGTTTCCTCTGTTCTTACCAGGACCACCAACTCACCATGTGCACGACGCCGGTCACACCAACAACTTCTAGCAGGCCGTCATCAATGCGTGGTTTCTCAAAGCGGTTATCGCTCTCAGACCCCCAGAGATCGGCTCCGGACCCCCAGCTGTGTAGAGAGCAGACCACAGTGACCACCTGTGGGCCTGCCACACACCCTGCCAGGGGAGGCTGGTTCTCCAGGCTTCAAAAGCCAGGGAAGCAGCTGGAGGAGACAACACCGCCTTCCCGCGCTGCAAAACACGGGAAGGGCTTTCCTAAAATTTGGAGGATGGCTGACCACATCTTTTAGGAATAAAAGGAGTGAAGTAAGTAGTTTCTGTTTGAATGAGAAAGAATAGGTAAGAAGAAAGTAACTCCAAAGAGTTTTAGTTTGCTGTGAAATACAGGTTACAGCTACACTAACCCTGTACTTCCAAGACTTAAGAACTTCACATAAAACTTACTGGTCTTGGCAATATTCAGGGAAGCTACTGAACTGAAACTACAGCTAAAACAAGCAGCAAGTTTTTATTTTTGTACATGGCCAAACTCATTTATAGTTAAGCAGGAATTCCTGCACTTCAGCCTTCTGAAATGCTTCTGACAGTTTAACTCCGTGTTGCTTTTTGTGCAGCACTGATCCTCCTTACTGAAATCACTCACTGCACCGACTGCTCAGTACCAATCCTGAGTTTTAACTTCTCCACAGTTCTCATGTGCAATACACTTGTGTGCATGGGCACGTGCGTGTGCGTCTGTGTACATGTAAATATAAAGATTTGAATGAAAAGTTGAAACATTTTCAGACTAAAATGGAAAGAGATACAGATAGTTTGCGGTAAGAATGTACCTGAAAAAAAAAAAAAAAAGTATGGCAGCACTAATTACCTGCTGGTTTTCTGCAAACAAAAAACCTGCCTCTACCAACACCTAAGGAAGCCAGATTTGCTGCGGAATTGCCTTCCTTTCTTCCACAGTAGTAACTCTGCTCCCTGTGCAGGTGTCACAACCCAAAGGTTTTCTCTGGGTTTGATCTTTGATCCTTCTACAAGTCACAATGAAATCTGGTGGACAAACAGTTTGGGGGAGGGGGAAAATGGTAGTGGGCAGAAGCCACAGGCCTATGACCAAGCCTAAAAAGTCATGTTTTACTACAAAACTCCTCCAAAAGAAGTTTGAAAACCTTTGGCGAGGCAGTAATTCCAAATTACTGTTAGAACACAGAAGAAATAACAAATGTATGGGGGCTTGCACACAGGGAAAACAAGACAGTACCACCTTTATGTGGCGTGAGATTGTGAGCTTCAAAGGATCAGAAAAAGTATGTCAAAATGGTATTAAGAGCTAGCTCTTTAGTCACGGTTGCAAAGCCAGTGAGTCAGGCAATAATCAGCAACAACCCTCTATTAATCTACAGCATTTAACATTTTATCTAACCATTTAACGTCTCATTTTCAAATACCAGGCAGCTTGTCCACACATACAGCCAGACATGCATCCACACAGGACCCCTCCTCTCCCTTTTACCTGGGTATGTTGATAAAAATGAGTCCTTCTATACTCGGCAACTCCACCTCGTGCTGGTCCACTTGAAGCTTTATGTCTTTGTGAAGGTTTCTGGTATGACTTATCTTCTGCAGCCCAACTTTCACGTAAACTCCTTTGTTGTGAAACCTGGGAGCAAGACAAGCATCTTGTAACTAAAAAGTAAGGTCCAGCATAGCACTCTTCCTCGTACCACATACCAGTACTGTCCTCAAGCTTCAGCCAAGTTTTTCAGTTAAAACCTTCTCCAAATTGTCCTAGCTTTACTGCAGAAACAAAGCACAAGCTACAAACTGCTTCATATATATAATATATAAAACTTTTAGTGAAGGGATGATTTGTGCTGTTGAGGCACGCAGAGATCTGTGAAATATTACTACAGCAAAATCATCCCTTCTTAAAGCGCTGCCTGGATGCAATGCCTCTTTGCAATGTAAACTTCTGGGCTGAACAACCGTATTATTAATTAGGACTGAGAGGTTTTCATGAAACACTTTTGAATGTTTTCTCATGCAATGCTGGAATAATTAAGGCACAAAAACCTTTGCAAGTCTTTGCTTTATATTTGCTAATTAATTTGAAATGTACCATGCTGTAGAAACTTAAAACATGCTTAGTAATGTTAATGTGTGACAGAGCTCTAACATCTTTCATTTTAGGTAAAATGAAGATGAGGAAGATGCTATGGCAACCCTAGAAATGTTGAAGTATTTTCAGAATAACATAAACACATTGTAGTTAAACACATACATTATTTTTTCTTCTATAGTGGAAACCTTTGGATACCTGGTCTTCAGGGCAACTTTAAAATAAAAAGCATAAATTTCCATTGTTTGACCCAACTAGCACATGGGTGTCGGTGGAATCCAACTCTGCAGAATCTCTCTAGCATCACATCTAAATGCTGTATGTTCAAGTGGGGAAGGCAGCCAGTGTAGCGTGTGGGTTATAGTCAACTCTTCAGACTGAGACTGTTCATCTCTTTTCAAATTATTACGTTGGGAATGATTAGTCCTACATGCTAAATATAAACAGCATTGAATTAAAGGTACCTGATGTAACACCATTTATTAACATATGCTTAACATACGCTTCTACTCCAGACCATAAGATGTGTCTATGCTAAGACAGGCTTTGTCTGATTTGGATACAACTGAAGAATAACAGAATATCAGTAGGAAACACAATACTTTAAATATCCCCCAGAAGTACTAATTTTTGTTGCACAAAGAAGGAAGCCTGCAGAAAGTGAAAGGATATGACACGGTGCCGTAACTGCAGACACAGTCCTGAATTATGTGACCTGTAAAAAACTCTTACGGACCACTGAGGTCCACAGGATCCAGAGACATTGGATACACACCCCGTGACACGCAACCAAGGGAAAATCTGTCAGAGACTAAATCCTATCACTCCACTCTTGAAACAAAATTCCATTCCATTTATGTATCTAATTAGGACACTGAGACCAAGTAAGACTGAACAAACTGCTGTCTGTAATGTTACCCTGCCAATTCCTACCCAGTGGTTTTAAAGGTCCCTGAGAGATTTTATGATGAAAATGGCCAGCCAAGCTTGGAAGGGTGACCTTTGCACATCCACCGCTAGGGAGAATCAACACCCTTCTTTGCACATCCACACGTGGGACATCATCTGGGGAGAAAGTGCCAGTGGGAGCTGCCAGCCTACAGCTAGCACTAGCCAATAACATACTGGCTTGCCCACCTGGGTGAAAAGAAGGAGAATCTCCTAAAGCAAACCCTTGGCTGAATCCATTTTGCAGACCGTGGTTTCACCACAGTTAATGAGCAAGGCAGGAAGGAGGAAGCTCTCCTTGGAGCAGTCTCCAAAGGAAATCCTGGTTTGTATTAGGTGAGACTCACACTGCAGTCACTGCTGTAAATGACACTGATGGGGGTGAGAGAGGAGGGCAGGGCATTACAGGCAGGACATCCCTCTCCATGGAGCCAGTAACTCATTATGTCATCCCAGAATTATTTGGAAGGTTCTTGTCATGGTTTCAGCTGGGATGAAGTGAGCTTTCTTGCTAGCAGCTGGTGTAGTGCTGTGTTTTGGATTTAGGATGAGAAACAGTGATGATAGTGCACTAATGTTTTTGGTTGTTGCTAAGCAGTGGAGGCCCTTCCTGCTCCTCACACCACCCCACCAACAAGCTGGGGGTGCACAAAAGCTGGGACAGCTGACCCCAACTGACCAAAGGGAAATCCCATACCATATGACATCATGCTTGGTATATAAAGCTGGGGTAAGAAGAATGAAGGGGAGTACGTTCAGAATTATGGTGTTTGTCTTCCCAAACCACTGTTATGGGTGATGGAGCCCAGCTTTCCTGGAGATGGTCGAACTCCTGCCTGCCCGTGGGGAGTGGTGAATGAATTCCTTGTTTCGCTTTGCTTGTGCATGTGGCTTTCCCTTTGCCTATTAAACTGTCTTTATCCCAATGCCTGAGTTTTCTCACTTCCACTCTTCCAATTCTCCTCCCTATCCCAACCACGGGGAGTAAGCAAGCGGCTGTGTGGTCCTAGTGTCATGGCTAAACCGTGACAGCTCTCTGGAGTACAGATATTGAAGTAACATCCTACTGCTCAGAAGATTTTGGGGGATTAAACCCACATAGCTCAGGAATCATGCTTTTGTTTGTTTTTCTACGAAAGATGCACTACAAGTATAGCCAACATCCACATACCCCCTTCCTGAGGTACATTCAGAAGGTCGGACTGATCTTTGGTTCAGCCAATTGTATATCTCAGAAAAGTTTCATGTATTAGGAAAGAAAACAAGTGTTTTTTTAAGTATTGCAATCCCGTACTTACCCTTGATAGACCAAGAGGCCCTTCCTGCTCCTCACACCACCCCACCAACAAGCTGGGGGTGCACAAAAGCTGGGACAGCTGACCCCAACTGACCAAAGGGAAATCCCATACCATATGACATCATGCTTGGTATATAAAGCTGGGGTAAGAAGAATGAAGGGGAGTACGTTCAGAATTATGGTGTTTGTCTTCCCAAACCACTGTTATGGGTGATGGAGCCCAGCTTTCCTGGAGATGGTCGAACTCCTGCCTGCCCGTGGGGAGTGGTGAATGAATTCCTTGTTTCGCTTTGCTTGTGCATGTGGCTTTCCCTTTGCCTATTAAACTGTCTTTATCCCAATGCCTGAGTTTTCTCACTTCCACTCTTCCAATTCTCCTCCCTATCCCAACCACGGGGAGTAAGCAAGCGGCTGTGTGGTCCTAGTGTCATGGCTAAACCGTGACAGCTCTCTGGAGTACAGATATTGAAGTAACATCCTACTGCTCAGAAGATTTTGGGGGATTAAACCCACATAGCTCAGGAATCATGCTTTTGTTTGTTTTTCTACGAAAGATGCACTACAAGTATAGCCAACATCCACATACCCCCTTCCTGAGGTACATTCAGAAGGTCGGACTGATCTTTGGTTCAGCCAATTGTATATCTCAGAAAAGTTTCATGTATTAGGAAAGAAAACAAGTGTTTTTTTAAGTATTGCAATCCCGTACTTACCCTTGATAGACCAAACTGAAAAACACCCTCACCCTTTACTCTTAAAAGTCCCACGAACAGGTCTCCAGAGACTCAGGGAGACACCACAACATCAGTAACTGCTTCCCAAGCTTTCATGGAAAAAAATGATCAGCCAGTCCTCAGGAGTCACAAAGAAGTGAAGTGAGCAGATGCAGAAAGCCAGACTTTTCAAAGGTCCTCCCAACTGCTGCACACCCAGAAGAGCTGATTTATGGAACTCTTTTTTAAAGGTGATGGATAAAAAAAAATATCTGCATGCCTGGCCTTTTTAAATGAACTGCAATTTCCCATGGACACCAATAAATAGCAACGGTAACATCTCTCAGAAGCAAACCTCTCAGAACTGCAACACACAGCATGGAAAGCTATCAAGCAAAAGAAAATGACCACCTTTTATCTAGACCTGCAATTCAACAAGCCCACCGCTGGGTGGGAAACCACCACCACAAAAGCTAAGAGCTCTGACCAAAAATTAGCGTCCATTTGGGTGCTTTTATTAGAGTGATCTTACTGACCGGAGAAGAACTTTAATAGGTTCACACACAGAGGACCCAAGATGGAAAAACTGACTTGGACAGTAGCCGTTGCAGCATTTAAAAAACCACAACGGACAAATCAACCAACCAAGGCCTTCAAACCTTTCCCCTGCAGTTCTGGATCCTTGTACAACAACTCCCAACTGGCATTAAACCATGCAGAGTGTTATCTCTGCCTCCCCTCTCCTCCAGGAGACCGCCCGCCACAGCAGCCTCCTGCCAGTTTTGGATGGCACAGACAAGACCTGGTGTCTTAAATCAGCAGCCCTAAAGACTGCTCCGGGATCCCCTGGGAACGGGGGAATGAAGCATCGGATGCCCTGATCCTTAAGTTCTACACTGTGAAAAACAACTGTGGCACCCAGCAGCGTGAAACCCATCCTTGCCAGAGCACGCGCTGTTCCGACCGCCCGGCGATCAAAGCCCAGCACCCAACTCCCCGCTGTGGGGAAGTCCCACCACCATGCGAGCTGCCAGCCAAAGGGCAGGCGTCCTGAGGGCACTCCTGCAGCGCCAGGCCAGACAGCACACAGCCTTCAGGGCATTTTTAACAGCTTCAGGCCTTCATTCAGAAGAGCATCCAAACCCATTTTCATCCCAAGGGCTGCCTGCAGGTTCTGTTGCCACAACCCGAAACTTTTCTGCACTCCAGAGCGAGCAGCAGGTTCACATGCCAGGAGCTATTGCATCTGGCATAAGTAGCCACTCTTCTTAGTTAATTTACTGAAAATAATAATAATAAAAAAACCCCACTAATCTTGCTGGCAAGAGCATGCAATTGCATATCCTGGGAAAGGGCAAAGGCAGCAATGTTAACAATCCTCATCACGGGCAGTGAAAGGCAGCGATCGTGTCTCAGCACTGTTAGCCCCAACAAGCTGTCTGTCTCCTGCAAAACTGTACCTCAGTATCAACTCATTATTTCACATTTCTTTTCCAGATCTCGAATCACAGAAATGTATCAGATTTACAAAAAAACCTAACAAAACCAGATCTCCTTTCCCACGCACCCTTCAAGACTCCCTTGCCTGCGCGGCATGCAAGTACACGTGTGAAAGGTCTGCAAGAAGGGCACCAAGTCACTGCCCAGGGCACTGCAGGTGCTGTACACCATGTACTGAGATAAAGATTCAAGAAATGAAAAGCACACAGAATCACAGAATCTTCTAGGTTGGAAGGGACCTTAAAGATCATCTTGTCCAACCGTCAACCTAACTGACAAAAATAGACACCCGCACAACAAACAAGGAGCATCATCACTAAACCATATCTCCCAGCACTACATCAACCTGTCTTTTGGACACCTCCAGGGATGGTGCCTCAACCACCTCCCTGGGCAGCCCATTCCAATGTCTGAAAACCCTTTCCGTGAAAAAATTCTTCCTAATATCCAGCCTGAACCTCCCCTGGTGTAACTTGAGGCCATTTCCTCTAGTCCTGTTGCCTGTGACTTGAGAGAAGAGACCGACCCCCACCTCTCTACAACCTCCTTTCAGGTGGTTGTAGAGAGCTGTAAGGTCTCTCCTCAGCCTCCTTTTCTCCAGGCTGAGTAACCCCAGCTCCCTCAGCCTCTCCTCATAAGACTTGTGCTCCAGACCCCTCACCATCTTTGTTGCCCTTCTCTGGACCCGCTCCAGCACCTCGATGTCTTTTTTATGGTAGGGGGCCCAAAACTGGACACAGTACTCGAGGTGGGGCCTCACCAGTGCCGAGTACAGGGGGATGATCACTGGAACAAGCACTGCTATACACAAACTTACTGCCTGATTTTACTGCCTATGATGTTTCTAATCCAGCGGATTGGAAATGCAAACCAGTGCCAAACAGTAATTTATGTGCCACAAACAATGTCCTGTATTATTCAATTTTTAAGAAAAAAACATGAGCAATGCCTGTAATGACAGACAAAACACTGCAAGATAAGTGGGATTACACATCATTACACTCAGATTTGAGTATTGCATAGTTGTAACTGGCTGTAACTCCCTAAATTGTCTCCAGGTTGTCAGACAGGACATTTATTCAAAAAGGGGAAAACAGAACAAAAACAGTTTCTACAAGGAATTACTGATTAATTACAAAAATGTGGGCTTTTGTTTTGTTTTGTTTTTTAACAGTATCAGTGATTACGGGAAGAAGAAAAAGTACTATTATTGATTGATCTACATGCCAGAAAGGAGGAAGTTCTCTCTTCACACCTTTTTAATCTCACAGTTTCACATGGACCTGTTGGAAGGGGCCCAGCAGAGGGCCATGAAGATGCTCAGAGGGTTGGAGCACCTCTCCAGTGAGGACAGGCTGAGAGAGCTGGGGTTGTTCAGCCTGGAGAAGAGAAGGCTCTGGGGAGACCTTATAGTCCCTTCCAGTACTTAAAGGGGGCCTACTACAGGAGAAATGGGGAGGGACTCTTTATCAGGGAGAGGAGTGATTGGACAAGTGGTAACGGTTTTAAACTGAAAGAGGGGAGATTTAGATTAGACATTAGGAAGAAATCCTTTACTGTGAGGGTGGTGAGGCACTGGAACAGGTTGCCCAGAGAAGCTGTGGATGCCCCATCCCTGGAGGTGTTCAAGGCCAGGCTGGATGGGGCTTTGAGCAACCTGCTCTAGTGGGAGGTATCCCTGCCCAGGGCAGGGGGGTTGGAACTCGATGATCTTTAAGTTCCTTCCAACTCTAACCATTCTATGATTCTATGAATAATAGTGATAGGCCTTCCAAAAACTGCTTTGGAAGGTGCTCTCTTGGTAAAGGGAAATAAAAAGAAATAGAAAAAAAAAGAAGAAAAAAAAAAACCCAAACAAACAAAACCTCCGAATTCTGTGTCTTCAAGTTCCTAGCTAACTTAATTCCTGCCTGTGCCAGCTCTGCCTCAAGCAGTATTTTTTGTGGACACCTGTAACATTTCAAGATTATCAGCCATAGCGTAAATTGGAAGTTATGCAATAGCACAGAGTTTGCCCTTCACCCCTGGCTTCCCCAGGATTACCTGCTATTAAATTTCCCTGGTTCCTCTTCTCTAGCATGATGGAAGTCCAAGCTCAACTCTGCGTCAATGCCAAGACCACAGTAATTGTTCATCTGTACAATCTGTCAAAAAACCAAAATTGTGTTATTTCCTCCTTACGTTTATAAATGAAGAGGTTCCAAAGCTTTTCAACAAAAGTAAGCGTTGCAGATAGTCCTTCCAAGTCACTTGCATCTTGACAGATTCTGGAAAACATTTTCCAGAAACACTGCACTAAAAATAAAGCTGTACAGACAATTGTTGACAAGTGTAGTCATTATTTCCAAAGTATCAAAAACTTCAAAATTTAATCTTAATTGCAAGTAACAAGTATAATAAGGCAGAAATACAAACAAATGCAGAAATAAAACAAACTCAACTTCTCAAAGCGATTCTATGCAATAAATACAAAAGTTGCTGAACACTAATGCCACTATTATTTTTGGCATCAGCCATGGATTTATCATGACATCACTGGGAAGACGCTTTTCCTTACTTTGGAAGATAACCAACTCACACCAGATGAGTGAAGAACTCACTTCACCTACTCAGCTGCATTTTAAATAGCTCCCTATAAGCCAGTCTCAAGTTTCTGCAGATTTCAACCATTTCTGCAATTAATTCTTCCTTTGCATGCCAGTTCACTCCGTAGCTTTTCTATCCTAGTCTTTGGCTCGCCCACCCTTCACTTTTAAACAAGCAGATGATCAGGCACTCAGGGCAAATCAACCCCTGTCTCCACTGAGTGAAAAATAGTTGGAACCTGAGCATCTTAAATCCTCCAATCGACATGTAATGCCCAGGATTTTCCAGTGACTGGACTAAAATCTTAGACAACTGCTACCATTATTACAATTTCCTACTTTCTCTTTGCCACCCCCTTCTCCGATTTCTTTGTTTTGTCTGAAGACAAACAGAACCAGGATTCACAAAAAAAAGCTCTGAAGTCACTGTCTACAACCAACATTTTTATCTTCCTAAACAGAAATAAGTAATACAAACCAAGGGACAGGGACTTTCACTCCAAAAAAATAAACCAGATGCCACATATACAGACATACAATGGCAGTAAAATGACAGAGGGATTAAATTCTTGTATATGCTAGCAACTTGTAGTCATTTTTTAAACTGTTAGAGGAAAGATGAGAGTACTTTGAGGGGTGGGGGCATACAGGTATTTTTTGGCTGACACTCCAGTTTCACTAATGTTGTGGAAAGTGTTTGGCACTCCTTCAAAAAGCTCTTCTATTTGAGAAATAAATTTCTTTCCCGCTGAAGAAAATAGGTACACCATTGTCATTTGAATCTTCTTGTTAATCCCCTAACAGATACCTTTTGCCAAACAGCTACGAGGTGTGTTCTGCAGCCAACCTGCAGTTTTACCTGAAGCACTAGACACAAACATATGCTGTGTTCACTAAGGAATAGCTCAGGAAGGCCAAAGCTCAAAGACAGGTGAGCAGTAAAAGATTAAACTGCATTTATAATCTACCTTCTTTGTGATTTTTGCTGGAACAACAGTTCCTAAAAACCAAACCAGTGCTCAGCTCACCTTTGGAGGCTCAGGTTCTGCAACCCCATTCTCTGCGCCTTCAGCTGGCTCCTCTGCATCCAAAAGGATAGTCCAGCGATCCATGAGAACGTCGTCTGCCTCATCCACAGAAACCAAAATGGAGTAGGGGTCCTCCCCACTGTAGCCAGCTCCCCAGCGCAAGACCCTCCCTAAGTCATTACCTGGGGAACAAGGAAGAGCCCCAAAATATGACTGCGTTCCCAAAGTCAGCTAAAAGCATAAAAGAGTGCATCAGACCTGTTCTACAAATCAAATTGCATCAGGGTGCTCCAAACAAGTCACGGAAGTAGTCAGACTGAAGTAGAAAAGTTAACAAGCAGAAAAAAATATCTAAGTGTTGTGGCTGCACACGTGCTTGGTGTCACATAGAGATGCACTGTCTCATCTGAAAAGTTTTCACAAAAAGAGACAGAAAAACCTATTCTAGAGCTGAGAAGTCAGGGAGCGGCTGAGTTCACAGGAAGGGCTGATGCACCTGTGGTTGTCAGGGGGAGAATATTTTGCCCTCTCCAACTCCTGCGCACTCAGACACACCCACACCAACTCCTCTGCTTTTCCTTCAGGAACCATCACAGACGTTTCCTTGAAAATCTGATATTGCATTTGCTCTCCAACACCGGCCAGAACTGAGTCATGTGGGCACCTTTACTGCAAATCCGGGTTGTTTGTCAGGTGAATAAACAAAGGTTACATCTTCTGGAGGACTTCTGCCCTCAGAAGAAGGGTGCTCGCGGTGACCCTCACCTGTTCCTAAAGGTAGGATGGCCACCGAGGGCTCTGAGCACACCAGCTTGTGCCTGATCTCCTCCAGCGCACCCAGGACCCAGCCGACGGTCCCGTCCCCCCCACACACCAGCACGCGGAAGGAGGGGACTTTAGAGAAGGTGTGGAACCTGCGTTGAGGAGCAAAGCCAAGGGGAAAACACACGTTAACAACGCAGTGCAGGAAAAGCAAAGCCTCCTGACAGGCCGTTTAAGATAACATGTTATTATTATATTTCTCCCTCACCCCCATCCCTCCCGTTCACCCTCACTTCCAGGATCAACTTCAAAGTGAATGGGAAAAGAGATTTTTTTTTTTAGATAAAGCTGTTTAAAAAGAGTCTAAACCACCTGCTCCTAAGACTCTTCAAAGCTAGAGTTAAATTGTTAATCACTTCCTTTTTCATCAGAGAGACAGAGATCTAACTATTCATAATTTCAGTGTGAACATCTGTAACTCTTGATCCTAGTGGAGATGTCGATTAGTGGGTTTTATTTGTTTTTTCCTTTTAATTAGTCATAGGACTCACAGCACTTTTTCTTCCTCAAAGTACTATTTACCTGGTCGCTCTTACCTTTTGTGGCTTTTCATCCTAAATATCAAGATATCCTGCAAGGGAATACTTATTTTCTATTGCAGAAGAACAAGTGGAAGCATTTGCCACAAAACTACAGAAGGACTCCATGGACAAAACAACATGAACTAATTACTGAAGTTGCAGCTTGAACTGCATTAGAAAGACAAAAGCATTACACAGTTCTGACAAATAGTTTGTTTTGTGCAGCTTGTTTTTCTTGCCTTCTGCATAAGCTGTGTTTCTCCCATGAAAACTTTTGTTTTGAAGAGCTTGTCATGACAGCTCTTTATTAGAGCAGTCCTGAAGGAACGAGCCTACTCTGAGTAGGCTACAACCGTCACTTTCATTTTTATGAAGCTGGTAACAAAGTCATGTTGATTAAATCAAGTAATGGGTTCCTGCCTCCCTACAAGCACATTATGTTCTGTTCCTTGTATTTAGAAATGTTGCAGCTGTGACCAGGCAGGCCCTGTTAATTCTGTAACTGTGGCCAAGTTTCAAGAGTCGAAGATAGAAAATTTTATTATACTTTCCTACTAGTTCCCATGAAACATCAGAGGAAACAAAAGCAAAAATGAGCCCTTGTTGGGCAATGTGACGTTTCTCTTTCCATCCCCATTCAATTATAAAATCTTTTTATCTTCAGTATTTATTAAATCTGTGTCATTGTAAAGTGGATTTGACTTTCCCAGGACTGGACTTTATTAGACTTGACACAAGCATATACATCAGGAACTACTATATTCTCTTTTCTTTAGAGAACCTCAAAGTTTAAATCTGTTTTCACAGTGAGAGAGAACCAGACAGAAGGAGTGATCCACTGCTCCGGTCTTCAGGCACAGAACAGAAGCAATTTACATCTTCATAACAAGCAAATATTGTGATCTACCCTTTCAAAAAATAAGAAAAAAACATAGCTAAAAAAATTAAAAGATCTAATGACTTACCCAGGCAGTGGGCCACCGTTGGTAAGCTCAAAGACCTGATGTGGGTTTAGCAGCTTTCTAAAACTGTACAGCAGATCCCGACCTTTTAGACCACCACTTTTTGGATTCACAAACACAAGAAGTGGGCAGCAGTTCCGTGGTATCTTGGAAGCCTGAAAGAAGACAAGAAAAAGCATTAGCCAAAACCTAGCTAGGCAAGAAAATTACTACTGCATCTCAGACATATTTCCTGATGCTTCCTTGATACTTAGTAAGAAAAATGCAGATTTGATAAATAGAAAGATTCAATGTCCCAACAACCACAGAAACTTCATAGTCGGAACGGACTCTTGAGGTCACCGAGCCCAACCAAAACCCCACAATCTTGGCCACTAGAGCGTGCCCTGAAGTGCCACATCTACACGTTTCTTAAATACCTCCAGACATGGTGACTCAACCACCTCCCTGGGCAGGCTGTTCCAGTGCCAAAGGACAGGTTAGCTGCTGATCTTGTTTTTCTGGGACCCGAAGTTTCCTTAACCCACTCCAACTACACAGTTGAGCTTAATGCTAAAACCAAAGGCACTGTAAGTCCTTCCTATACATTTTCCGTAAACAGTCTATGCCAAAGAATAGTGTGAGGGGATAAGGTACCTTCCAGAGTCATGCACAATTCAAACACTTTCCTTACAAAGAGAGAACTTCTCCCAAAAACAACGGAAACATTTGTCTTTAGTTTTGTGGTTGTCCTAGGATACATGTTAATTTAGAAGGACAAAACACTTCAGGACAAGGGTGTTCATGGCAGACTCTGGCACGTCCCTCCCCAAGGAATAAGAGGCTGAAAGCTTCTTTTAAAAAAAGGTATTTAAAACTTTTAATCACGAGTATTTGGTGCCAGTGTCTTATGGTCCTCACACCTCTACAAAAGTGGATGCTGCTGAAAGGGCTCTCAAAGCTCGGCCGTGCTGCAGGGGTGCCTGGTGTCTGTCCAGAAACCACCCCAAAAGAAGCCACAGCCCATGGGAGAGGAGGGATTTCCTGGGGTACTCCACAAACTGTGCAGAAACGGTACCTGCAGCCTCACGGGAGGTCAAAACTCCCAGCCGCAGAAGCACACCCTTGGGACAGGTTTTCAGCCAGCCAGCCCATAAATCATTCTGTAAAACGATTTGTAAATGGTTCTAGAAAGATGAGAAAGTGCCAGCACACCTTTCATCCACCCTGCTGCAGGGCTGCGGGGCAGGTATGCACCAGAAAACCCCACTGGGCACTTCAACGAGCGCGCTTCAGAGCAAGAAATGTTTGCCACAGCCCCTAAGTCGTGGTAATTTGTATGTACAAATTGGATGGCATTCAGGGAACAGCAATTTGTCACGCAGCTGACAGGATGGATTCAGGGAACAGAACAACAGCGCTAAATATAAGTCAATTTAGACAAGAATAATTCAGGGGGCGGTGAGGCAGCGGCATGACCGCAGCGTGCAAACATGCAGAGAGATACCAACAGCCCCGGAGGGGAGAGGACAGCACCCAGAGACACCCTGGGCTGCTGTCCATGAGTGACCACCAGGGTGTGAACTAAGGCAAAGAATGGGGAAATCAGGACAAATTAATGAGTAACTTTGTGGGGAAGCAAACTGGAGCCTGATGTTGGGATACCCCAGACCACTGTCTTATCTGTGAGCTGATCTGGACACTTGAAAACAAACCATCCTTTGGGGCTTCCCAGTATTTGAGAGATTGCCTAAAAAAGCTGTGTGCTAACCCTTGGCAAGTCACAGCCTGCCAGATGCGTCAAGATACCTGCAAACACATAAAAATCCTTCTCCTCTGTGTCATCTCCTGAGAAATGCCCTCTGCTATCCAGCGTGACTCGTGGGCTCAAAGAGAGAACATGCTGGGAAAAGGAACACCAAGCAGAGCAAGAAGGTTGTTGGAGCAGGCACACACTTCTCTAGCCCCTTCCTTCCTTCCTTAGATTCTGCCACGGACACTCAATTTGAAAACATGTATGTTTTCTCAAAAAAAAATTTGCCAAACAAGGGCTATTTTGGCTGACAAAGAGCCAGAAGAGCATTAAAATTTAATTTTACTGGAAAAGTTTCACTGCTGGCAAAACACCTGGGCTGGCAAGACGTGGGCTGTGAAGCTGTCCACAGTGCTTTCTCCAGAGGAGCCACCTTCACGCTGTACCGTGATGACTGCCCCTTCAAAACACCTCTTGCCTCCATATTCAGGCATTATTGGAAAAGGGGAAGCAATTACTGAAACCGTGCCCAACACACAAGGGTAATATATTCATTTCTGTTAAGCGTGTGGAAAGGATATCTGCAACCAGCAAAGGAAGTCTAAGGAAAACAATGCCTGCCACTGTCACAAAAGGGAAGGACTTCACGAGCTGGAAGGTCAACAGCTCAAGGATCCACACATCCCAGCAAGAGAAGTGGGTTTCCTCTCCTCAAGCCACCACAGGCATTAATAACAATAGTAAGCAAAGGTCTGGCTTTTCCAGAAGCAAAGCCCTTCTCGTTACTCCACCAGTTTCTGCACCATCACCTGCCACATCCCATTTTGAAAATCCTATAAGCATCTCTGAAAGGAAACGCCACGTCCCACGGGGTAACGGGGCAAACTGTGCCCTTCCTGTGCTCCCTGTTCCAGAGTCTACTCTTCCCTACCTTCCCGCCTGATGCTTCCCGCTTCTTCCCCAGATTTTTGGCTGCTTAAATTTCACCTCCAGACATTTCAACTTTCTGAACGCCACGGGTTACCTGAAACCTCAGGCTTAGTTCAACACCTGGAAACTTGTGGTGTTTAAAAAAAGGGGCAGTAAGGTGATAACAGAAAGAAAAAAATACTCAGTTCTGCAGTTCATAGAAAACAAAACACTTTTTCAAAAAAGAATGAGAGAAAAGAAACTATCCTAACATTTAAGTCAAACAAATACCTTGAATGTGGATAAGAGCATTTGATTACCTTCCCTTCTTCAGAAAATCAGTTTCTAAAAATATTGCTTTTGGACATTTAGAAGTGACATGTTCAACACGTGTTTTACATTACTTGCTTTCACAGGCAAGTTCTAACACACTGGGTTTAAAACCAAGTAACTAAAATAATTCATGAGGAACTTCAGGGAATCGCAATGATTTTTGAAGCATGGTAAGCTCCAAGGCATTCAAAAGCACAGCTGTGTTTGGGAAATCATCTGAGGTCTTACCCAAGTAAACATATATTCTTGCAAATATGTATTTACAGTTTCTACAAAACTGTCATCTAAATTTTCTAATTTGTCAAGTGTCAATATTGTACCAAAAAAAAAAAAAAGTGAAATATTTACCCTGCACCCTACTGAGACACAAGGAGCTGCGGAGAATGCCTGAGCAGTCCTACCACTCCAACTCACCTTTGTTCCAGCATCTTCTACTGTAAATCCCTAACTATACCTTGTAAATCACTAACTATACCTATTTAGGACAAAACGCTCCTATGTAGAATGAACAGAAGTATTCTAGGAAGTGTTTAGACTTAGTTAACTTGCTTCCCATCATCACTCTTCACTAAGCTTAAAGATGCAAGAAACGTCACTAAATCCCTAGATAAAGGCCAGCTTCTAAGAAAACAATTATTTTTCAGCAGGGTTTAAAAACCCTTTGGCAGTTTGCACAGCAGAGGAGGGCTGCTGCCCTGCCTTCTGCAAAGCACAAGCTCCTTTACAATCACAGACGGCCACTCTTAGGCTGCAGAATTCTTTTAAATCCCTTAATAAAGGCCCAGTGGGGACGGGCAAATGAGTTTGTTTCTGGGCAGAAGGGGGATGTGTGACTCACGGCCCGAGGACTCCCTTCCCCCTTTAGCCCTGGCTTTGGTGCTCTGCCTGAGGAGTGAAATCTGCAGAGGGGTTTTGTGCTGGCCGGCGTTCAGGAAGGGATTTACTGCTGGTTTCTCAGAGACAGCCGAAGGAGGCCGTGTGATTTAGACACTCTGACAGCCACTGTGAATTGCTCAATTTGTCAGGATTAGGCACAACGCGGCTTCAGGCTGGGGCAAGATATTTATTATTATCCAGGCTAATCCCCCTTTCTGTTGGTGCACTGTGTAATCACATCTCGCCACGAAGCAGAACAAGGCCTGACATGGCAGGACAAGCATCTTCCAGGGTGGTGGGCAGTCTCCAGGCACCCCAGATACCTCCAACTGACAATTCAACATTTGCAAGCATCTCCCACGTACGAGGACTCACGGCGCCCCAAGCACACACTTCCCCCATCCTGGCCAGAAAGGAGCCATTGCATCCCATGAGGAATGACGTGCAAGGTGTCTCCGTGCACCCAGAGCAGCTGCTGGGTCAACACAGCAGGAGCTCGAGCCTTTTCTTTGCTTTTTGGGGAATTGCGGCAGCGGAAGAAAGGTGAAAAGTGACCTTTCACAATGTTTTGGCTAAGAGGGTCATTAAACTCTCATTGAAACAGGACACATTGTGTGAGGAATCAGTGGAATGAATGAAATGGAAAGTTTCACCCATTTGGGAAACTCCTGCATCTTTTTCTACTACTGTTAAGGAAGCTCAGCACGGTACGTCAGAGGGCAGTAAGCTGGTAAGTGGCATTAAGGAAAAAGCCACACAAACTTGTCTTCCAGGTCAGACTAGATCTCAGGAAGAAATCCTTTACAGTGAGGGTGGTGAGACACTGGAACAGGTTTCCCAGAGAAGCTGTGGATGCCCCATCCCTGGAAGTGTTCAAGGCCAGGCTGGATGTGGCCTTGAGCAACCTGCTCTAGTGGAAGGTGTCCCTGCCCAGGGCAGGGGGGTTGGAACTCCATGATCTTTGAGGTCCCTTCCAACCCAAACCATTCCATGATTCTATGATCCTCGTGCTGACAGAAGCGTCGCACAGCTCTCTGCTGGTCTCCTTGTTTGCCAGAACTGCAGAGGGAGTTCCGGTAAAGGAGCTTTCAATCCAAAGATTCAGCCCCGCAATGTCTCCCACCATGACAGGCTGCCGAGGAGCGACACCAAACTGCCCCCGCAGTCCCTGCACAGCAGCCAAACAGCTTCGTAAGACACTCTATTACCTCTGTCACACCCCAACAAAGAATAATATTTTCCTTCATTTGAATATCGCCAAATGAAAAAGTGGTTGAATTCGTGAGATCATGAAACAGCAGAACAGATCGATGCATCTGATCACACTAATTGCTCGACTTTCTAATAAGCAATTAGTGCAAACCAATTCTGCATTCAAACTCTTCAGTAATGATAACAAGAGGACCAATTTCTTCTGGCAGATCTGACCACGCCAGAGTAGAACTGGGTCTCCTCCACAGAAGGTGTATCTGACACACAACGAGTGGATCTCACCTTGGGAAAATGAAGGACTAGTAACCTGCTAACCACCAATTTACTTCTCCACTTTTATTGACTTTTAAGAACATTTGGTTTGGTTTGTTTGTTTCAGTTTTTTAATTTAAGTTGCAATTTGGAAAAATCATTCATTAACCAAAACACTGTGGCCTTTGTTTTATCACCCATTCTTCTGAGAATATGCATTAGCCCTTCATTCCCTAATTCTTTGTATTTCACCCACAAGAGGAATGCCAAACACAGCATAATAGTAATATTGTGCTCAGTTCCTGCATCAAATATTTCCTGGTGCTGTATTTAAATGGTCACATATATAAAGTATAAACAAAGGATAACAGTATCATAGGATAAAAGAATAATCTAGGTTGGAAAATACCTCAGGAGGTCATCTAGTCCAATTGCTTACCAAAGTAGGGTCAACAATCACTCATTAGCTTACCCTGGATAATTAGTGAACGGCATAAGCTGGGTGGCCAAAGCACTTACGAACGACATTCGAAACATTATTTAGATTAACTCTCAGCTCGTTTCAGTGACATGACCAAATATAAACAATACACGCTGAAATGATAACAAAATGTATGGGCACATGTACAGCCCCTTTCTCCTCACCTATTAGAAATTCATCCCTAGCAGGTCCCTGAACTGGACTTTCTAAAAGACCTTGCATCAGGTAACAGAGAGCATTATCCCTATTTTTCTGGCACCAAAAAGTTCACTTCAAACCTATCCAGGGTCAGAAAAAAAAGACACACGTGCTCAGCAGAGCAGAGCATGTTCTACTTCACACACCGTGCACCAAATCTAGGCTCATAATGCATTTGCCTAAAAACCACCAAAACCAAGCATCCCAGAGCAGTCCTATCTTCATGCTGCCTTCCGTTTCTGATAACCTCATTTGGACAAGGGGTGGCCTTGGTTTCTAAGGATCTCACAAAACACAATGCCTATGTATGCATAAGAACAAGGCTCTCACTTTTTCTGAAGAGGGGAGAGTTCTTAATCTTGCCAGTTTCATGTAAGGACTGACAGAGGTATCTGCTCATATAAAAAATAATTTCATCTTCAGAAAGCTTTGACAAAGCATAGAACTCTTTAAATAATAAAGCAGGCATGTAAGTATGCAACTATGGCTATGGAACTTGAGACACTCCTATCTAAAGTTGTTTGATAGTTCCCACTGATTATATAATTTTTTTTTAGTTTTCAACCTTCTGTGAAGTTCTAAGAAGTCAAACTAAGACCTTCACTTGCCATACTGCAGCTCCAGGAACACAGCAGCTGCAAGATAAACAACAGTTCAGCAGAAAGTAACTGCCTACAATCTCTTTTAGCCAGAACCTACACCATCCTGGTTAAATCACTTCTTTTAAGTGAACCATTTCCCTCTTTTCACCCCAAATCTGATTTGCTGACATGAAATCTATTATTAAACCAACTGATTTATGGGAAAGTGATTTGTAACCATAAAAATTAATAAATCAGAATCAAGTCTGAATTTTTGAAAGGACTCTTGCACTAAAACCCACAATGCGGCGTTTAAACAAGCTCAAACTCCCTCTCTACAGAACGAGGGAAATTAAGATACTGTAAATTTGAAGATTAGCAGCAGTAGCTTACCTCACAGTTAGTGAGGAAACAGGTTCAGCCCTCAAAACAAAGTCACTGTAAGCATTTTAATACATGCCAGCTAAAATGAAAACCTGACCTAACTTTATGATCATTGAAAGATGATCATATAATCTTTATAATTCTATAGTTATGCAATGGTATAGTTATTCCTGACAACCCAACAGTAACAGTCCAAGTGACTTAACTCACAGAAGTATATCATATACATGAAGTACAGGCTCTCAAGAACTCTTTTTTATCACACTACTTACAGAAACTCACTGTACGGCTCCTTTGAACAAAATGCATTTTCATTTACTTCCAGCAGAAAAAGTCTCAAGGTAGTTGCTTTTCTTTTAAAGACATATTTTTAATTCAAACCCATCTCTTACCATAACTTCAGGAATCACCACAGCATTCAGAGGCTTGTCATTGACAGTTGTATCTTTAACTAGCATATATATTCTTTCAGCTTCAGAAAAGCATGAAATTTCGAGTACAACAGCACCTGTAAAGAGGCATGAGACCTATTATTCATATATTCTGTTATTATTAAGAAATCAGTACCATCATACTGCAGCAATAGCCTACGGAGTTTGCTCGGGACATTATTCAGTAAAAGTTACCCTGTGACACTCTGGTTGTTGGCTGTCAGTAAATTGGGCTGTTTTGCTTTTTAAGCCTTCCTTCATATGCCCAAATACATCCCAGATTTCTGTTAAAGCAAAGCAGTTTAAGGACACGAAGAACTGCAGCACAAAACTGATGCATATTTAAAGACTTCATTTGGGCTTCAGAATTATGGCCTATTTCCATACTCTTTATAATAACTAATAGGCTGTTCTCATCATGTAAAAGTGACAAAGGTATCAGGTTTTATTTTGTATCTCATGACTAAAAACCCAGTGGTTCCACTTGTATTAATTCTTACTGAGATATTGTCAACAAGCAAAGATCTGGTTTGAGAATCAATTTAAGACCTTTATGTCAGCAGTATGGGGAAGCTGGGGAAGAAGGGAAGACAAAAGGGAAAAATTAAAGAAAACAAAATACTGCCAGGTTATTTAAAGTGGGATACTTGGTGAGGAGGACAACAGGGCAGGATAAGACTGAAGTGCATAATGGACAGCGTATGAGATGTAAGCTGGTAACACAACCTGGCTGCAACCAAATGTGAAAGCCAGGAGGTTGGGGAAACATAAAAACACTCAGCAAGGGAAAAAATCCAAAGAACAGTAAGAATCACATACAAGCAGTAACATCTGAAAAACACACACAGGTAAACTTGGTTAAATGAAGCTGTGACCTGAAAAGAGTATCATAAAAAAACCTATTCTCTATTGACAAATATGAAAAAGAGAAGGCACATCTCATAAGGAAAACCATAAAGCTTTCAGAAGTCAGATTAACCAGCCACACGGAGACAGCAAATACAGGAAGGAAGCACAGGTCGGTCTTCAAAGCCACGCTACAGAAAGATTCATTTAGCAGTCATGTGGAAGTTAAGCCTGCCAAAGGACGTGGAACATCCCGGATAGGGACACCTAAATGTACAAAAGATAAACTCTACACTTTTAAGTTTACCAGCTCTCCACCTGACCACGGCACTAACGCTGCTCCAAGCCACTGCTGTTCCAGCTCTGGGAAGCCTCATGGCTTCTCCCTCCTGGCTGAAATGGGATTCCCACAGGAAAAGCAACGCAGCAGCTCACAGGATGAACACAGAGGTGAGTGTACTGTTTTCCTCCAGACTTCCAGCCACCAAATCCCCACTGAACACTGTGCTAGCGAACACTGACTGTGAAACAACCCCATCAAGTTCAAAAGCAGGACCAAAATTATTTCAGAAGTCAAAATAAAGGGAGAGGACTTGAAGGGCTTTTAACAGGCGAGTGGTGTTAGGCATTTCAGCTGAGATGGAAGTTCAAAACTCTTTTTTGTGGTGAAATACTACCACTTTCTGGTACACATGGGTTGAAGCCAACCTTTTTATTTTTTTAAATAAGGTGATACTAATCCACTGCTCTTCATAAAGAGAACATGTTACATTTTATCTGAAGGGCTTTTTGCTTATGCAGTAAGACTAGCATGCTCTCAGCTTAGGGCCTCTGGTATTGGGCTGCCGTTTTGCAAAAAGACATTATCTGCCAGACTAAAAATCTTAATGCTTACCTTGTGCTTGATAAACATGAGTCACAGATACTACATTTGCTGCAAAGGGAAAAAATATAAACACATAAAACCTTGGGTACATTTAGAGTAAATATTTAAAATATTTTAAAAAGTTACATAAATATAATATAAATAAATATTAAAAGTTATACAAATACAGGGAGAACCTCCAGCTAACACTTCCCCTCTCCTAAGTTTACTTTGCAAGTTAGAAAAGCTAAACTGATTTTCATAAAAGGTGAATATGAATTCTTCCTGGCATTTGAAGTTTAATTCCTCTTGAAGTTACATTAAAAATTGGGAAAAATGCTTCATTTCCTGAAATAAAAAGGATGACGCATCCCTGACACTGTTTATAGAACACACTGATTGAGAGAGTATTATGAAAAATCAATCACACTTCTTTGAAAAAGAAAAATAAATTCATTTAACTAAGTGCTTGTCCACATGTGTGTGCACACGCTGCTCATACTTCTATGTGATGAGGCACAGAGATAATGAACAATATGGAGAGGAGCCCACGCAAAAAACGTCAGAGGTTAACAAAAGCGAGGAACATTCATGTACAGGGAACTAAACTGCACTGCCATAATTGGAGTACTGTAAGGTATATAAGGTTCAGTTCTAAAAAGCAATGTTTTTTCACTAAAAAAAAATAATGGTGTGGTCACATATAACTCAAGAAATGTAATAATAATTCTATGAATAATGAGCTGTTACATCTCTCATAGAATCATGAACATGTTGAAATTTATAAAAAAGTCACCCATGACAGTACAAGACAGACTGATTTTTCAAAGAAGGTCACAAAACGTTAAGAAAAAAAAATAATAGAAAGGAGCAATAGATGCTACTACATTTTATTCTGTGCAAGTGAATGCACCCATTTACTTACTTTTGATAGCTAATTCATCCTTGAGAATATTTGTGTATTCTTCAGGGGAAAGCTGAGGTGGAAGGCCACCAACAAATAAATTTACTCGTACAATGGATTTACTGTTTTCCACAATGTAAAACCTTGTTTGATTCATCTGACGTATTGAAGTCTACCAAAAAAAAAGAAAAATAAATGACGTGACACTTGGCAAAAAGATACTGTGAAACAAAATCCCAAATAGTTCTGAACTTAGCGATCAAGTCCTCTACGCCTACAGAATATGACAAACGGAAAGAAACTTCAGTCCAAGCACTTAGCTTCTCTACGGAGGAGCCAGCTTGGTGGTGGGGGGGAACTGATAACTTAATTTTTATGTAAGAAAGGGGAGTCCTTACTTGCTATAGTAAAGGACCGTGTTCCTTTTTTCAGATTTACCTTTCTTATGTCCTTGAGTCTGTTAAGAATCAGCTCCTGGTTGTCCAAGACCATGCGCTGAACTAGAGGCAGCAAGAACACAAATCACATTGGGAAACACTGAAAGTTTTTAATCAGGCTCAATTAAACAAAAGGAATACAAAAAAATTTAGGGAAAACTCACAACTCTGCGTACAGCTAACAGTAACATAAAGCACCACGCAGACCTGAACTACTCATTATTCTACAGAAAAACAATGCAGGTGCTTTGAACAGTCTGATTTTGTTCTTAAACACGACCCTCTAAAAAAATGCAGAGACAGCTTGAAGCCACTCAGAAGACAAGCAGTGCTTTGGTAACAAGCTGTTTGACAGGAGACTTTAAAACTACCTTCCCTGACAATTACAGTAATAATCAACTTCAGTATTTTATTAAAATATTAAGACAATTGTAAAAACTTCCAGCTAAAGCAAGGTTGTAAATGATGCTTTACAGAGTGCCAGAAACCAACCAAGGGAAGACATTCACAAGGCTAAAATAGCCTTATAAAACAATAGCCTTATATATATATATCTATAAGGCTATATATAGCCTTATAAAGCAACTTACTGATGATGTTCAGAAAGAAAGCAAAGTATAAGGCCGGAATTTGAACTAAAAAGGTATTTACTTGGGTGCGGCCAGGGCATCATCAGGCTACTTCAGTGGCTTTATTTAGCTCTCTCCATGCAGCCTCACAAATAATGAAGCACAAAGGGGATGTGAACTTGAAGATCACCAGCTCAGGTCATGCAGGATCACAAGCCTCCCTAGCAATGCTAGGACTGTGTATTTCTGCACTTCATAACGCACACACGTATTCCTTGGACTATCTCAGGACTCAAATTTGCTCTTGTTTGCGGGCAGTGTTGGGGGGGAAAAGGAGAGAAGGAAGGGAGCCAACTGAACTTTACAACTGATCTTTACTAAATTACTGCATTTAAGAAAATGTCAGCTAAAGGCAGCTCCCCAAAACGGGGCTCTTTGCCAAAGTGTCAATACCCACCAGAAACCACTAATAAACCTTCATGTAATGATGAAGAAAGAGAAGGGAACCACATTCCCACAGGATACACAAGACCAAGAAGAACAAACATCACTCAAGTATTTCAACATGATGGTGAAGTTTTATTTGTGAAGGCATTTATTGTAAAAAATTAACTGCGACTGTGTTAAAAGGGAGAAGAAAAAAAAGAAAAAGCTAGAAGATCAGTTACAGATGTACCTTTGGCCAGTGCTCCTTCACTTACCTTGCTTACTGCCCATAAGCACTTCCACCAATTTGAAATTCTGGAGGCAATCCATCTGCCAAAAGATGAAACTTTAAAATGTAGTTTCTGAATTAAATATAATTTTGCCAGATGCTCATGTTGAAGTTATTTTATACATTGCACACACAGAGTGTGGAACATTAAACATTTTAAAATTAACCATGATGTTGATTTCTTCATCCTAACCCACTCCTCCTAAGCAAGGAATAATCTTCATTTTACACACCCAGCTTCCCATATATGGTGTCAGGCTTCTATGTCCTCAACTACATCAGCATCCTAGCAGCCCCACGGTGAAGGGGCACCTGTAAAGCAGTCTGCCTCCCTTCAGCGACCAGCAGCTCAGCTAGGATATTTCCAGAGAAAGCTTGCTGGGAATAGACCTGCTCTTCAGGAAGATGGCCCAGGAACCAGGCTTGACAAAAGCAGGCTGACTGTTCCCCATTTCCTGAGGCACGCCACCAGCACTGGTGGAACAAACCCCTCTTCACACTTGCCACAGCCACTTCTCCAAACTCTACTGCCAGAGATCAGCCAAGTCCCTCATGGCTGGACGAGAAAAGCTGGCACAGCCAAGAGCTGAACCATTTACAAGGATTATTGGAGCATCTCCCTTATGAAGAAAGGCTGAGAGAGCTGGGACTCTTTAGTCTGGAGAAGAGAAGGCTGAGGGGAGACCTTATCAATGCCTATAAGTACCTAAAGGGTGGGCTGAAGGAGGAGGGAGCCAGACTCTTTTCAGTGGTTCCCAGTGAGATGACGAGGGGCAACAGGCACAAGTTGGAACATAAGAGGTTCCACTCAAATATGAGAAAAAGCTTCTTCACAGTGAGGGTGACAGAGCCCTGGAACAGGCTGCCCAGGGAGGTTGGGGAGTCCCCTTCTCTGGAGATTTTCAAGACCCGCCTGGATGCAGTCCTGAGTAACATGCTCTAACGTGCTCTAGGTAATCCTGCTTCAGCAGGGGAATTGGACTAGATGATCTCTATGGTCCCTTCCAACTCTAAAAATTCAGTGAAATTCAGTGAAATTATTGGAACCCTGGGAACATGACACTCAGGACTGAGGAAGTGTCTTAATTTCTGGCCCAGAGACTCAGAGGACAATTGCTTTACATGTCATGAACGGGGGTGTGAAAAGCCTCAACTGCCTACATTTGATTTGCCTGAAATTTGAAGACAGCAACTTGGTGAGGTTCTTCAGCACAGGCAAAATCTAGATACTAAAAAGATATCTCTTGTACATGCATCTTCATACACAAGAGAGTGATATATTAGTATCAGAGAAATTACAACTGAGCCAAGAAATTAAGTCTCTTGTAAGATAAAACTAGTTTCCCAAACAGAAAGATGTGAGGATCTTTCCCAGAGTACCCAACTATCCCGTTTGACAGTTGCTTTTTTCAGATGAGACAAGCCTTCAGACAAGATTTTCCAAGTTTTATTGAAAGGGCCACAGCACTTGAGGAAAAGGACTGAAATAAAATCCTAGAACCATCCTATGGCACAAGGAGCTGCATGCACTACACAGCTGTGCACACCTAGACAGAGAGCTCCATGAGCATGACAGGAGCCTGGAGCAGCAGAAGCCCCAAGTCCTGAATGAGATGTGCATGCTGCAGCTTCACACCTCCACACCTATGTGTCCAACTGAGACTGCCAGCATCATGGCACACCTGCAAGTTCTACTAAGACACTTCCTAAGAGTCAGGCTATCTTGCCACCAACTCTAAGAAAGACAGGCAGACTGAAAAGATATCATCTTCCAAGGAAAACGTGCATCTGCAAGATTATAAGATGTATCTAACCATTTCCAATGAGGTGGGAAGAAATGCAGATGGTAAAGAACATGGGTGCCATTCAGCCTTGAGTCCTTCCATGTAGTCCTTAAGGACTACAGCAATGCTGTTTGCCACTGTAGGGAGAAAATTCACGTGGCCAAAGCATGATTAGAGTTCAAGCTGGCCAGCACTGTGAAGGACAACAAAAAGGTCTCTTTAAAATATGTTAGCAGCAAAAGAAGGATCAGAGATAACATTGGTCTGTTAGTTGATGAGGTTGGTCACCTCACAAATAGGGATGTAGCCAAAGCGGAGACATTTAGTGTCTTCATCGCCTCCATCTTCAATGCTGATGATGGGCCCTGAGACCACAAAGCCCTGCATTGGAAGACTGACTGTGGGGATGATCAACTCCCAGCCCACACTGAACCTGTTCGAGACCTGCTGCTCCAGCTGGATGCATGTGTAATCTATGGGGCCCAATGGGATTCATCCCAGAGAACTGAAGGAGCTGGCCTGTATCATTGCGGGACCTCTCTCCATTATTTTTCAATGGTCTTGGGAGTCTGAAGAGGTCCCGGTTGACTGAAAGCTGGCAAATGTTGTCCCAGTTTTCAAGAAGGGTAAGAAGGAAGACAACTACAGTCGACTACCGTAGTTGACAGTTGCCAGTTGACTACTGGTAATCACAGGCCTGTCGGTCCCACTTCAGTGCCCGGCATAGTTATGGAAAAGGTTATTCAGGGAGTTATTGAAAAAAATTTGAGACACGACAGAGTCATTGGTCATAGCCAGCACAGGTTCACAAGGGGAAAGTCCTGCTTAACCAACTTAACTTCCCTTTACGACAAAGGCACCCATCTAGTTGACCAAGGGAAGCCAGTGGATGTGGTGGTTTTGGATTTTAGCAAAGCTTTTGATACAGTCTCTCACAGAATCCTTCTGGATAAACTGTCCAGCACACAGCTAGATGAGTCCATAATGTATTGGGTGAGCAACGTTGGCTGACAGGTCGGGCTCAAAGAGTTACAGTAAATGGGGTTACATTAGGCTGGTGGCCAGTCACCAGCGGGGTTCCCCAGGGCTTTCTGGACAACACTCTTAGTGATGTGGTTTAGTTTTAGGCAGTCCTGCAAGGAGCAGGGAGTTGGACCCAATGATCCCTATGGTCCCTTCTAACTTGAGATATTGTATGATTTACTTTGCAGAGCAGCACAAAGAAGTAGGAGGCAAGCATCCTGACGCATCCTGAACATCCTAACAGTGAGTGCCAGCTTCCCAACAAGGTAAGACTGTGTAGTTACAGTGCAGTTACATACAAGTGTATTTTAAATATATCAAGACATAAACAACCAGAAAAAAATATTCTGCACATCAATAATCATTGTGTTCACACAAGTAAACCTGCTTGACCCACAAAGACTGATGGTAACTTCCAGTGCGAGCAACCAGGTCTACCTTCAAGACTGCAGAGAGTTTCAAGCATCATACCAGCCACAAACAATCATCTACCAAACATTAACAACATTCACAGCTAATGGACTGATTATAATGTTTCTGAAGAGAAAAAACACACACCTCAAAATCCCTCAGGCTGTATATAAACATGCCTATGATCTTTCATTTACCTGCCTTCCAAGTAATGGAAGCACTTCTTTGATCACAGTCTGCGTAGTGCTATCTTTATTCACTCGTAGAGAAACATATGCCATTCCCACCCTAAAAAGGAAAAAAATACTTATTTTAAGACAATCATTTGACCTATTCTGTGTGTACTTTTCTTACCCAAGCAGCAAATTTTCTACGGGGGTAGGCAGAAATTTTTATTAGTTGAAGAAAGTTTTTCACTGAGGCTCATGGCAGATGCAGTATTAGCCCCATAGACAAGCAAAGTCTTTCATCTCAAGGAACTGGTCCAGCACTGCAAATTAGTTTTTTTCTATATACAGGATTACCTACAAGTCTTTCATAAAATTTGGCAATGTAGCTGCATTAGTAAAATGAAAAAATGTTTAAATTTTAGCCCACTGCTCTTAAGAAACAAATAGGTCACCAGCCAGTCTTGTTTCCACTGCTAAATATCCTTAAAATATATATTGTCTCAGTGGTGATAAATGGAATAGATATTTTTTCTTTATTTTTTCCTCCTGTTTTCATATTAGAAATTACACCGAATACTTCCCACTTAATATTTCTTCCAAAAAAACCCATCAACACATGTATGTCACCATTTCTTTACAGATGCAGTGAATGTAAGGTTTTATCTTCCTTACCAAATGCACAATAATAGAACTGCACAAGTTGCACAGTACATCCCACGCATGTAAAGAAACCCACAAGCACATTTCCAGGCACAGGGATGAATAATAAGTATACTACTAATTCAGAAAAATAAACAGAAGAATCCTGAAACACAGAAGATGAAACTACATTCTCTGTTATACTTGCGCAGCTTCAATAACTGAAACACATCGGGCTAGACTAGAGAGGACAAATGTAGCAAAACAGGACAACCTTGGGATAAAGGAGACCACTCACTTCAGCCAGGCAGGATAAATTCTGATCACTTCCTCATCCTTTGGTTTGGCTCTGATGATCCAAGCTTCAGGAACGGATTCTCGGAATACCGAGCCCAAGTTGCTGTCCTCTGCAGCATCGTTCCTGTTGATAACATCCTCAGACAGCAGCGCCTGCTGTGTAAAAGTCTGAAGCTCATACTCCTGCTGGTCGTCGTTTATGTAGTATGCCCTCAAAGCAGCCTCCTACAACACAGCAAGATAAATTAACATTTTCTTGAAAAGACACCATTAAGAGCTGTGTAGCCATAGACATTTATGAATACCTTACTTACGGAACCAACCTTTAACGCATGCTTTAAGCGCAGAACAGTGGATAAATAGCAATGGCAAAACCAAAAACAACAGCCAAGTTTTGAAAACAAATTTAAGTAGAAGATACAAAACCAAAACCTGAGGTATCAATGGATTTGAACACAACCCACAGTATTTTTGTCAAGTGATAGTCATTTTAACTGCATAGATCAAGTGTAAAAATTCAGCACCAATAAAGCTACACTCACTGCATGCAAAATTTACTCCACAAGGAGAATGGTAAATTACACTTGATTGATTGTGCCCAACTTTGCATATTCAATCTTCTTGCACTACAGGGATGCTGAAAATCAGTGAGCTTCTCAGCCACAAGGCTTCCCTGAACCTACACACCTGTGAAGAGGAAAGGTAAGGGCTGTCCTTGGAAGATGCAAGCAGTGACAGGAATTTTACATCCATCAGTGGCCCTTGTCTGCAGCACCTCTACTCAGAGGTGCAGTGAATAAAGCCCAGTAAGTCACTTAGGAGAACTGGTATTAATCTGCCCCAATACGTTAAGAAGCAGAGTGACAAAATGTGCTTGAAAGGCAAGCAACACTCTTAAATAAAAGTGGTTTCAGCACAATTTTCCTTGAAGATCTTTGACACGTGGAACACTACAAACCATTTTCAAAACTCCTGCTGATTTTGAGCACAATATCAAGGTAAAAACCTGAGTGAGCCATAGGCTGAAACTGTCAAAATTCTGACATAATAAATTCTCACCAAGCTCACTTCTACTGTGCACCACCCCGTGCTCCCTCTGGGCAGAGCAGGGGGTCTCTGCCCAGCCCAGTAAACTAAGATCTGTACAGAAAGTTTGATTTAGTACTGAGTCATGCTTCCACCCCAGACGGAGCACTGGCAAAGCCATTGGCCACTCTGTGATCAGTAATTCATTACTTTCACAGCCAAGAAGCGGAGGTAACTACGGCACGCTTCAGTCTTCAAAGCCGATGAACTGAAGTGCAGTAGGTGGTGGTTGTCCAAGAGAAACATCAAACCACTAAATACCATAGAAGGGGAGCAAGATCTAAGGAGCTGATTATCCAGTATTGCTCACATCAGTAAAATCAGACTTCAGTGTCAGAGAGGGAAGGAGAATGACTGCTTAACATGTGATATGCTGTGGTCCCCATTATGCCATAGATAAGTAGCCCACTGCTTCTTCAGCTGCTCTAAAATAAGAGCACTGCAGAAGTCGTCAAATTATGCTGTAATATTATAGCCTACTTACAGATTTTGTTGTTGTTGAGTTACATCTGTAAAACTATCAGCTTTTGACTATTGTAATATACAATCCCACGCCCCTTTATCACACTGGAACATTGACCTTCACCGGGTATCTTACCACAACTTCTTCATTTTTTGCAATCCTTGGAACTGAAATCAGTCGAAATTGATTGCGTTTCACTGCATCATTCCCATCAAATATCTTTAATGTTTGTTTACCTGAATGAAAACAATTATTGTATTTCAATAACACACCCCTCAAATCATAAAGCTACCTGAATAGGAAACAAATAATGGAACTTGTAAAAATCTGCTTTTAACCCGCTGAACTTTACCACAAGCTTTGAGGCTGAATCTTGTCATTTTAATTTTGTTACTGTTCATTTAAAACAAGGGTACATTCATGGAGAAAAGCGGGAAAAGTATTCCAAGTAATCATCATAGTTTTATCCTGGCTTTTGATGTAACTGTTTACATCTAACTATACGGTTTACGTTACAACTTCTTCATCCTCACCATTCAAGGCTGAGTTTCTTCCTGGCAAGTTCAACAACATGAAAACTGAGACAGTGCCACCACCTTCAGAACAGCTCCCAAAGCACTGCCAGTTCTGAGAGCATCCTTCCAAAGAAAGTCCTTAAAGTGCCTATGAAGACAGGCTGAGAGAGTTGGGGTTGTTCAACCTGAAGAACAGAAGGCTCTGGGGAGACGTGGTAGGAGCTTTTCAGTGCCTGAAGGGGGCTACAGGAGAGATGGGGAGGGACTCTTTATCAGGGAGTTAAGCAATAAGATGAGGGGTAACGGCTTTAAACTGAAAGAGGGGAGATTTAGATTAGGTATTAGGAAGAAATTCTTTCCTGTGGAGGTGATGAGACACTGGAAAAGCTTGCCCTGAGGAGCTGTGGATGCCCCATCCCTGAAGGTGTTCAAGGCCAGGCTGGATGGGGCTTTGAGAAACCTGCTCTAGTAGAAGGTGTCCCTGTCCGTGGCAGGGGGGTTGGAATTAAGTGATCTTTACGGTTCCTTCCAACCCAAACCATTCCATGACTTTTTAAGTATTTTTTAAAATATGAAAAGTAGTTTTACCAGGTGGATTTGGCTTTTCAGTTTTCCCTTTTTTTCCAACTATCAACTTAGTGGTTTATGTCTGTTGTCAATTATTTTTTTTGTGTCACAGTATAAGTAACTTTAAAATATCAACTCTCACTTTAAAGTATCCTTGAAACTCCACTGCCATTGCATTGAGATTATAGCACACATTAGAAAGTGATTCACTCCTTTAAACTTTGCTGGATTAATACCAGAAAAAGTGAAATTATTTTTAGAAACAGATTTCTGTCAGAGTGATCTCCATGGTGACTTTAGCGTAGCCAAATTTTAACCAAAAGGTACACTGTGTCCTGGGTGACCTTCTTTAGGGTTAACACAACTTCAGAAAACACCGCAAACGCTGGTTACTGACAGCACAGCCAATGTTCTGAGTATGAACTTTCATAACATTATCAAAATCTCTACTGTTTTCTCTTGCAACCTAGAGGGTAGACAACCATCTGAGAACAAAAACATTCGTCCAAGTTTTAGTACTTGCTTTCATTTGAATTGCCTTTGTAGTCTGCTCTTGTTAGATACTAGCTGGCCTGAGCAAATCCCTGGCAATTTTAATTGGAGATTTTTTTTTTTTTACAAGCTCTCCACTTAAGACCAGCCAAATGTTGCAACTGGCTTGACTCTTAAACTGGTTCACGAGGAGGAGTTTAGATCTACAGACAAGTAGTAACATCCTAAACTCAAGTACGTTCCTTAGCTAAATACACAGTATACCCAGCCCTGCTTTCCTTAAGGTAATCTGGCTATCTGTCACACCAAACAAGCCCAATTTATCAGTGGAAAATCATGTTTAACTTTGTCACTGTCCTCCTCACAGGTGTCACTTTTACTACAACCTGATGAAAGATGGCTTTTCTTGCACATGAGCTTCTGGGGACACCTTAACAAAAGAACAAACAGCTACTTATCTTAACACAACTAGTCATCCAGAAAAACACTCCTCAACTAATTCAAGTGCACATCCACATGCAAGTTAAGGGGTGTCTCATGCCAGCCTGGTTTGTCTAAGTAGCCTTAAAAAGAAGCTCAACTATAATCTCTTTTAAAGTTAGGTAAGGCTCTTTCTCCCTCCTGTTCCAGTTTTTAAAAACTAGAAAAAGACCCAATTAAAGAAGTTAAATCTACATACCACTACTTAGTATTAAAAAAACCTTGCTAATATGCAACAGATGCACATAAAAATTTTGGTATTTAAAGGAGTTCCTGCCTGTTTTACAAGTCTGACACTTTACTGCCAAACGTCTTTTATCTTTTCCTGCTGGATCAGACTACACAGTATCAGGACTTTCTCCTGAAAAACACATTACTTTTTTTCTTATCATGGGATACTGAGTTGAAAAAAAGCTGTTCATGCTTACGCTATTCAAGGGAAAAACGACTACAAAACAGTCAACTCCAGGCATAATCTACCAAACTATGGAACTTGATTTCAGAGGCTAAGATACCAAGTTTTCCTGGGAAAAGGCTAAAGAGCATTTGAGGAGTCCAAAGTGCATGTCCTTTGACTTCCAAATCCCCACAGACAGGAGGACACAGCTTCTGAAAAGCCTTCTGTGTGGTTTGTGGCAGAGACAGGAAAATGATGTAGTCCTGAATGCTTTTGCCATGGAAGAAAGCTAGAGGCCTATGCCAAACATATTGGCAGAACTTAAATTCTAGCAATGCCATTTACCAAGAACTATTTTTCCCAACAAAACTCGTGCTCTCCACATGATTTCTGCTCTCCTTCTCTAGTCATTGCTACTTCAAATTACAACAGTGTGGACTGGTAAATTTTGGTGGATTTTTCAGTATTACCATTCACAACCTACACCGCAGCACTAAAGCAAGTAAGAATTGTGTATTTTTTTCTTTTACTGAAGAGAGTCTTTCAGAATCCCAGGTTCTTCCTTTCTCCAGCTGTTCCTCCTCCAGGCAAGCTATTTGCAGGTGTGTCACTTCTCTGAACTTGTTTTCATAACCATATCAAATCCCTCTAGTTCCAGGACAGTTTTGAAGGACAAAGCCATATTAAGAGCCATCCTCCCACACTGGTAGCCACCTCTTCACCCTTCTCTTCTCCAAGCATCTGCTATGGGTATCACCACTTGATCTGGTTTCACCTGCTTCTCCTTCTAGCTTCAGGGCTCTAAATCCATTTAATTAATGTTTCAGAGGAACATGTGACATGCTTAGCTATCTGTAAGCAGTTTTAGCAGAGTACAATGACCTTTTTTATGAAGGCTGAACATTTTCATAAGTATCTTTAGAGGAAAAGTCCTTCAAATCCACACGTTGCCTTTGTTCTTTCTGAAAACAAGTTCGTGCTTGCAGAATTACAGTGAAGGTTCTCCTCCACACTGTCAGCAGGTTTGGGAGAGGACATAAGCAAGCCATCAGCCAATGACTTGGGTCTATCTAATACAAGAACACCTCCCTTAGTCGGCACGTGAGCAGCACACTGTCTGGCAAAAAATGTGCCGTGAAAGGACACACTGTGGAAAGCATGTTTGGTGACATTGCTGCAGCCCCCATTCCTCTCGTCAGTCAGGATCCCCTAAAAACTGCTTCAAAGAGGGTTTTCTCTTGACAGCTGCACTTTGTCCTGCAGAGGACGGGCACACGCTGAAGCAGAGACTCCACACGCAGATACCAAGTGGTGAGAGACACCCTTGGGGCAGAGACTCCCAGGTCAGGACCATGCCCTTCGCTCGTCACACATCCCTGTCTGACAAATGGGTTGCCCACACACATGGCCAGAAAGTCTCTTGAGCCCTCCACACACCTCCTGAAACGTGCCTGTACACATTTCCAGTGGGCTGCTATGGAGAAACTGTACCCAAGCACGAAGACTAGCAGGATCTTAAAGCAAAGAGAATGCATAATCACAGGAACAACCCAAAAAGCATGGATCTTCATGTCATTCTTAAGTATCTACCATTTAATTTTTAATTTGATAAGCCTTGTCATAAGGCTTATCAAATCATTCCCTCTAAGGCAGGGAATAAATTAACACTAGCTAATAACATTTGTGAGTATTTCTCCATAGCCTTCTGGCAATCGTGCTACAGAACTACAGGGAGATTTTTTCAATCTTTCTTCTTGAAGAGATTTTCCATAAAACCTCTCTACTTTTTCAGGAAGCAGTTAGGAAGAGGTGCTTGCCTTCCCAGAAACAGACATCTAGATCAGCCAACATTTTGACTACCAACTAATATGAGACATCAAGGATGAGGGAGAAAGGGATTCAGGGAACGAGAGAGGGACAGGACACTGAATGGGAACCGAGCCAAAGGGGCAGCAACACTGTGGAGCAACACGTTGTGTTTGGGGAAGGAGGGGAACTGGGAGAGACAGGCTGGGGAAAAGCACAAAACACAACTTGGTGAGAAGCAAGTACAATAATGGGCGACATTAAGTGTCAGAAAAGGCAGATAACGGGGGATGATGGGAGGAGAGGAAAGAAGATATGACGATTGGGGAAAATGAAGCAAAAGAAAAGTAACCTGATTTTTCAGAACACTCATTTTTCTTTTCCCAGTATTACAGGCAATTACACCAATAAAAGGAAATACATAACCTCTTCCAGCACTTAAGCTGCTAGTTCATTCAACACAGTTGAGCATAATCCTGTTTTTCAAAGTATCTTCAAATGCAAGTGAAGCAAACTGTCTCGGGGCAAAAACTGTTTTCACCGTGACACCAGGTACAGCAATTTAACCTGCAAATTAGTATCTCCTGAAGTACCACTGAACAGAAGCTTTTGTGAGAAAATAAATTTCTTCTCCACACCCTCAACAAAGCCCAACTACTGTCTATGGAAAAGCTTCAAAATAAATAAAAGCTGCCTAGGCCTCCCTACACAATAATCAAGTACCTGCAGCTTTTATGATTCCTGGCAAGCAATTAGGGCAGAATCTAATGTCTTTTCATGTTCCGAGACCCCTCCAAACTCACACACAAATAAGAGCTCTTAAGTCATTTTTTTATTTCAGGAATTACTGAAATGACTCCTCTATGATTAATTTGTTGTATACATACAACAAACCAAATCTCTTTTTTTCCCCTCCACTTCCCCTCCATATTACCACAAAAGAATATGAATGATTTTCAAAAGTTTGCCGTTGACTTCTCAATCTTGACACATTACATCTATGGTTGCATCTCAGCTGAGACCAATGAATTCTGCCTCCAGGAAAACTAGAATAATCTGTGCTGGCTGAAACCTGAAAGGCACCCCTAAGGAGCGCTTTTAATCCCATTTGTTACCTCCACTGCCAGCTATCTGTCAATACAGAGCAGTTTTATCACTTATATAATCCCAGAATGACCAAGAATTATTTTAGTATGAAAATGGACATTGGGACTCAACTATTTCCCCACTACACTAATGGCAGCATCCACCTGATGCTTACCCTACCATCCCCGTAACATTCAGTTCTCCTTAGGTTAACTGTCCGGTGCACAGACAAGTCCTTAGAAGCTGGCTCATGTTCTCACACACCAGGATTTATAGTACTTTTCCAAACCTGCTCTGTAAATCTGTTAAATCTATCATTTCAGAAAGTGTAGGGTTGTTTTTATGGTAATTTTACGCTTTTGGCCTCAGTATCTTGGTTGGCTAAATTCCATGGTTGATTTAACACGTTTTAGCTCCCAAAACTGAGATCTAAATCTTCTAACTTTACAGTTCACTCAACAAGCAGTAACAAAGAAACAAAAAGGAATGCACACCACTGATTCGAATTTTCTTCCAGTATTAATCTACAGACCTTGCAGCCTTTTATACTGGCTTCTTTCCTGTGGAAAAGTGTGTCTTTACAAGTCAATATTATTTGATTTGTTCTGACTTATTTTCACTGTTTTTAAAAATATATAACTGTAAAATGTGGAGAGCTGGAATTAAGAAAAGCTACAATCTTCTGGAATACAATTCAATTCAGACAGCCCTAAGGGAGAGCACTGTAACATCCCAAAAGATGTGGCAGACGTACTGAGTCAACAAACAGAAGCTAATGAGCAGCTCGCTCCCAACCCATATTACACAAATGGTATTACCTAGATACTGGTAGAAGAGGTCCAGCAGGCTATAAACATGCCTCTGTCGTGTTTAATTACTGAATTTCACTGAATTTTTTAGAGTTGGAAGGGACCATAGAGATCATCTAATCCAACTCCCCTGCTGAAGCAGGATTGCCCAGAGCTAGAGCACGTTACTCAGGACTGCATCCAGGCGGGTCTTGAAAATCTCCAAAGAAGGGGACTCAACGATCTCCCTGGGCAGTCTGTTCCAGGGCTCTGTCACCCTCACTGTGAAGCAGTTTTTTCTCATATTTGAGTGGAACCTCCTATGTTCCAGCTTATGCCAGTTGCCCCTCGTCCTCTCACTGGCAACCGCTGAAAAGAGTCTGGCTCCATCCTCCTTCAAACCACCTTTTAGGTGCTTAAAGGCATTGATAAGGTCTCCCCTCAGCCTTCTCTTCTCCAGACTAAAGAGTCCCAGCTCTCTCAGCCTTTCTTCATAAGGGAGATGCTCCAATCCTTGAATCATCTTCATCACCCTTCGCTGGACTCTTTCCAGTAGCTCCTTGTCTCTCTTGAACTGGGGAGCCCAGAACTGGACGCACTATTCCAGTTGGGGCCTCATCAGAGCAGAGCAGAGGGGGAGAATGACTTCCCTCGGCCTACTAGCCATGCTCTTGCCTCTGCAGCCCAGGATTCCATTGGCCTTCCTGGCCACAAGAGCACACTGCTTGCTCATTGTCACTTTGCTGTCTACCAGGACCCCCAGATCTTTCTCTTCAGAACTTGTCTCCAGCAGATTCACGCCTAACCTGTATTAGTGGGTTATGACTCCCCCATACACAGAGAGGCACAGAAGCACAACGGCTGGCAGGTGAACCCCAATAACTTTGTCACAGAAGTTATCAGAGAAGCCATGGCCTGCCCTGATGCAAGGGCATCAGCCCCATGGGACGGGGGTTGCACCCACCATGTCAGTCCACAGGAGAAACTCTTTGGGTCACCTCAGCAGCTGAGGCAGCTGCTCAGGTTGTGGGGCTCTATGAGATACATGGGAAGAGCATTCTGGGTTTGTACAAGAGTTGTTAAGGGATGTTTAGAGGAGGAACCACAGGCAGGGAAAGGGAGGGATCAAGGCAGTTTGGGGAGGAACAAGCATGGAAAAATGAGGGATAAGGAGATAAAAGAAGCTGGTCACAGGTAAAGAGGTTGCTGGCTGTTGTGCCTGCCTGGCCATGCCCTGCACCTGCTCAGCACAGTCTGTCCTGTCTTCTTATTAACTGTTATCTCTAATTTTCTTTGTGGGTGTCGTTTCCACTCTTCTGCATGTGTGCGTATGGGTTCATCAGTGCAGCAACTGAAGTAGGACTGCAGGTCACTGTTACCCACACGTCCATGGTGCAGCAACCAGAGTGACAGATGCTGTGCGTCTTGCTGGCATGCAAGATAAGTGGCCTGGGAGCCACATGTGCATGCATCGCTGTGAATAAGGCACCTGGCTACTGGAGGGACCATGAGGCCCAGGATGACTGCTGGAGAGACTGTGGGGGCTGGGGGTCCACCAAGAGACCTAAAGGGAGAAGGGCGGTGTGTGCATATATGTATGTACACATGCATGCACACAACCACACATGCATGTATATATACATATATATGTATCAGAATACATATATGTATACACACACACACTCCCAACTAACAGACCCTCATCCTGCTCAGCCAGAAGGGACAGGATGCTGCAGCAGCTTCACCTCTACTGGGATACCGGATTTGGAGACCCCTAACATCATTAAACTAAAGCTTTCAAACATCTCAGCAACTTTTTTGTGAATGCTTTGAGTTTAGAGAACTAGAATCACTCCCTACCTATTAAACTTCCTAAATCATAGCAAAGTAACTGGGCTTTACGTTGACTTCTGTTTTGTGAAAATGTATTAAGAGGAAGTAATTTCTTTTAATGCCACTGTTCTATTTAAAACACAATTAATATTTCTTTACATGAGCCTTGAAAATATACCATTTACTGCTGCTGCTTTCTCCAGTCCATAGATGGACACTATATGAACGAAAGACATACTAAAGTTTGCATCCTGCCTCAAGATTTCTTATCTCTTTTCCTTCTTTTGGGAAGGCTGTCTAAAGCTGAACTGTCCTGTACTAGTACTTTCAACCAATCCAGTTGAAATACGTGGATCCTCAATTTCCTCTCTTTGACAGTCATGAGTAAGGGAAGTAACCCCAGCTGATGAAGTATAAAGGTCAACAACTTAAGTCACTTATAACACTGACAAAGTGAAAGTTTCTTAGATAAACTTCAGTTAGTCACAGCCTGCTCCAATAATAAGGGAGAATGTTGGTGGATCATAACTTAGTCACTAAAGAGACACCAGTGTCAAATCTTAAGAAATAAAAGCATGCCTGAGATCACTTCCATAAGTGAGTTAATTATTTCCTGAGCTGGATTTTTTAAAAATCCAAACAGCATTTGCGCAATTATCCTATTGATATTGTAAGAACCCTAAACTAAACAAAAAAAAAAAAATTATCAATATTGATTGGAAATTTTGTCTTTTACAACAATCCATGCAGCTACGTTAGGTAGCAAGTACTATGTTTTTCTAGTTACTAAGATGGATATAGGGGGTGGGATGACCTTAAATTGTGTTTGGCTTCATCTTCTGAAAAGTAGAAGATAGGCTAATTCCAACACCAGAAAGCTCCACAGCATAAGAAGCAACCAGCCCAGCCCAATCCTGATACACAGGAACATATATACTCTTACTGCAACATATCCAAGCAGAAAAAAAAAAAATTAAGAAAAAATAAATAAATTACCTGGTGTCTTCAGTAAGGTTTGGATCCAGCTATTTAATAGTTTTTCATAAGGCAAAGCAAGTTAAAATTACATGAATAAAGACTGACATGGGTGACTATTCACCACTTACTAAAATTTTGCTTACTTGAATCTGTTGAAATTTGGACATCTTTTGCTGATCCCTGTGTTGAGCCATCAACATCATCATCTTCATCTGTGAAAATAGAAACATTTTAGGAAAGGATTCTTGTTAATTTGAATTAGGGGGGAAAAAAAAATAAAGTGTTTGTCATTTAAGGATGGTTTCCCTCAAAGAAGCTAACAGAAAATAATCCAATCAGAAAAGCACGCTTTCTTCAGCTGCTTATTTTACGATAATAATCCACACTAGAAAAAACAGCATAAAAAACCCCAAACCTGCACTGTCAGGTAACTACAGTGAAGGCATACCTGAAGTTCTTCTACTACTAACTTTAAACATTGCAACTACTGCATTTCATCCCTTTCTCAGCTGTTTGCATGTGGCCAAATTATATATGGTTTCCATTAAGTTTTAAACAACCAGATCAGAGCAGGAATTGCAGTAACAGTTTTCCAGTCGTAAGTAGGGGTATTATATAAATTATTTCCATAACTGAAAAATAGATTTGCTGACACTCAAAGACAAAGAAATTACTGCACTTCAGAAGAGGACTTCGATAGCAGCTCAATGCTCTCACTAAAAGCCAGGAACGAACATCTTAGATAACGCAGCCTGTAAAGTCACACATAAAATACTTAGAAAATATTAAAATAAAAGCCACTACCATTTGCATTTGCTTTTGTGAAGATAATATCCTGACTACATTCTCACTCTTGACACTCAGGTCCATACAGAAAGAATGGTGCAAATCCAAACATGGTACATTTTTCTCCTCTAAAGGTAGCAGTGGCGTGCAACATAAGAATCCAGCGTGCTGATCATGTCATGGTATTCATACTCCCACCCATTGAAACTCACAGTCAGTCTTCATTGGGATGCAGTCAATTGGCATCCTTTATAAAACTATAAACAACTTTTATAAAAAGGCAACACCTTTATAAAAACTATGCCTTGCAATTGATGGAGAATGCAGGAAATTAAAGCACACACACACAAAAAAAAAACCCAGAAAAAAAAATACAACCAGTAAAGACCGATCTTCAGAGCAAAAAAGGTACCAGGGAAGTCAGAATCCTAATGCAGGAAAACCTTCCAAGAAAGAATCACAGCACGTCAAGAAGGGTACTTTGCAGGAGTCCTAAACTGGAGACCAGGCAACTTACTGAATATTTGAGTAACGCTCCAACTGACTACAAGAAAGACCAGCAATAATGTTTCTGGGTGGGGGGGTTTAAAATATTAAAGAAGGGCTGAAATACTTTCCTGTCAGAGTTGAGAGACAAACAGATTAAGTTTAAAATTGGAGAGAAATTTAGACAATATGGTCTTGAAGTCCCTGAAATAAACGGAAGCTGAATGCCTTCTTGAATTTCACTTCAGACAAAATCAAATTAAATAAAGAATAAGTAAATACAACAATAAGAAATTAAAGATATCCTGGTTGCTCCCAATTTTTTAAGCTTAGATGGGAAGAAGTTGACATCTTTATTTTATTACTCTTTCTCCCACAGTCTGGACAGTAGACAAATCTACGCTAACAGCATTGTGAAATTATTCCAAAGAAGTTCTTCTTACAAAATATGCAGAGAGAGGAGTCACTTGGAGGAAGGGGAGATAACTGCTCCACCACTGCTTCCTCCCATAACCCAAGAGTTTTGCAAAGATGCTTTCAGCACAGAGATGTTCACTGAACGTTGGCTGTGAAGCTCAGAGTTTACTCAGTGGCAAAAGCTAATCCGGACAAATGCTCCCCAGTCGGTCAACGATGATGTGCTGCTTCTCTGTCTAGGACAAGTAGCTGGCACTTCCCAACCATCAGCTTGGGAAGATCTGTGCTGCAGCAGTTCACTCATCCAATCAACTGCCAACACCTCTTTGGTAACGCAGGGTGGTCTTTTCACAACCTTCTAAGTGATACCTTTCAATCAGCTGCAGCAACAGATGAGCACCCTCCATGCATGCCACAGTGCAAGGACTTCTGAACGAGTGTGCTTGCATGATACATCCCACAAGTGAGGACAGAAGCGCTAATTATCCTCCAACTGAGCTGAAGTGCTCCTTGCTCCCTGGAAACATCCCTAACGTGCATGCAATCTCTGAGATCTGCCCATGCGGAGCCTATGCTTTTCCCTGGAAAAGCAGCAGCAGCTCCCAGGGCAGCTGTCTCAAGCTGCTCCATGGTTAGAGAAGTTTCAAAGGCATCCTCAAGACTGTCAGGGAGCTGCTGGACCTGTCACACATCTTGGTAACTTTCAGCACATGCCAGAATCTAGTGGGTTTTTGAAAGAAAATGCAGGTCTGCTCTGTGAGAACAGGTAAGAAGAGGGACTAACATGCCATAGCACTGAGCTCCCTCGATGCAGGATGATGTGAGAATTAGTTTAAGGCAATTCCTAACTCTGTCTTTAAGGAAGAATCTGGGCAGAAGGAAAGACCTGCACAGTGACGGTACTCGGTGCCTTTGGCAGGGACCTGCAGACAGCTGGTCTCCAGTAGATAACTGAGAGAGGCAAACAGCTCTTAAAGCAAGCCTCAACAGGATCTGAATGGTGTAATGAGGAGCCACACCTGACGACACTGGACTTGTACATGAACATCAGGGACCTGAGTGCTAAAACAAGTGTGTCCAACTTTGGAGTCCTCAACACAGGAAGGACATGGACCGGCTGGAACGGGTCCAGTGGAGGGCCACAAAAATGATCAGAAGGCTGGAGCATCTCTCCAGTGACGACAGGCTGAGAGAGTTGGGGTTGTTCAGCCTGGAGAAGAGACGGTTCCAGGGAGACCTCACAGCAGCCTTCCAGTATCTGAAGAGAGCCTACAGGAGAGCTGGAGAGGGACTCTTTATCAGGAAGTGCCGCAACAGGATGAGGGGTAATGGTTTTAAACTGAAAGAGGGGAGATTTAGATTAGATACTAGAAAGAAATTCTTTACTGTGAGGGTGGTGAGGCACTGGAACAGGTTGCCCAGAGAAGCTGTGGATGCCCCATCCCTGGAGGTGTCCAAGGCCAGGCTGGATGGGGCTTTGAGCAACCTGGTCTAGTGGGAGGTCTCCCTGGCCTGGGGGGTTGGAACACGATGATCTTTAAGGTCCCTTCCAACTCTAACCATACTATGATTCTATGTGTCACACACCATCATCGGCTAAGAAAAAACACAACAAAATGCCTTATGCACAGCAGACTGCAAGACAGGTACCCCACCACAAACATTACTCCCCATGACTTCTGCTGAGCCAGAACTGTGGCCCATCAACCATGCAAAAAGGAAGATGTCAAGTGCTGGGGGTAGCCACCAAGCTCAGAGGTAGGCCTGAGACCAACAGCAGGAGGAAAGGAGAGCATCCCCATGGCTCAGCCCCTGCTCCCCTGGGTGTCAGCAACCCCTCGGCCCTGGGAGACCACTGCCCCCCACACCACAGGGAGCTAAGCCCCAGGAGCAGAAACCAGTATGAAAGAGACCTGGTGTTAGAAAAGAGATTTTTCAAGGAGTTGCTGTATTTCATCCGGGTATGTGCAGGCTGAGCACCACAAAAATGCATTCTGGCTTTCCAAGCATGGTGTGTTTTCTTCATTGTTTTTTTTTTTCCCATATCACATTAAAGCACTGGAAGTGATCCAAATTCAGTTACTGAGTATTTCCCCTGTGTCTGTTTCTGACCCTCAGCTAATGACTGATATGCACTGCATTCTCTCAATTCAAAGTACAAGACACATTTTAATAAAAGGAATGCAAAAAACATTACTTCAAAAAAACTCGAATATGCGTTAACATGAACTAATACCCTCAGCATATAGCCCAAGTCCTGAAATGGAAAACCTTCTCTTCTATCATTTAAAATAATGAAGGAAGAGAATACAGGGTGCAGCTACAAGCTTGTATTTTTTCACTCAAGGTGCTCCGAGTTCAATTTTTACTTAAGGGTGATTTAAAAATTAAAAAAGGAAAAAGTTTAAGTCTGACATATTAAAAGAACGCACCACTGTTTAAAAGACAAACAGTTAACATCAGAAAAGGCACACTCAAAGAGGCTATTTAAAACGTTTGTGATTAACTCCTGTTAATAATAATACAACTTCATCTTCACTTAAGCCTTTGGGACGCTTGTAGAACACCTAACAACAGACCTGAATCAAGGCTCATAATGAGTCTTCCAGCAAAACAATGCTCATCCAGCTTATTTCTGCTATTTCTTAAGTTGGAAGCATTGGAAACTCCATGACTTTGAAGTATGTGCTGTACTTCACCTTCCCCCACCCACAAGCAAATTCATTAAAAGGAAAAGTAACTCACTGAAAAAAACATGCCAACCAACAAAAGCAATGTAACGCCTCCTCTCCCCCTTCACACTTCCATAGGTCACTTCAGTGTGTTCAGGTTATGTAGACTGTTCAGGTTATGTAGACCTAGGGTCAATGCGTTTTATGCAGCAGCAGGACCCCTGCTATAGCTTCTGCCCATGAGAATGCCTGGCTCCTGCTAGTGAACAACTGCCTTCACCAAAACCAAACCCATGTTCAAAGCGGAAAATTCAAGAACAACCTGTCAGGTTGAGAAACGCACAGTTGCAAACATTTAACTTCCATGACCTATATTTTGCTTACCTTTTATTTGCTTTCTTATTGTATTCAAGCACCACAAGAACATAGTAATCAAAATTTAAATTAGAAAGTACTTCAGTGGCTTAAAAAAAAAGTCTATGGTTCCTAAAGAGCTTTTAAACAAACCTACACTCTAGATGGCAGCAGAACATTACCCTGCTCAATTCATTATTTCCTTTCAGCCCAGAAATCTTAAAAGGGCAGATGCTTAATCAAAGAGGCAAATAAAAATATCTGTATACATGATATGCCAAATAAAAACCAGCATGTATATCAGCAAGTGTTTGTAGCAATGATAACACTAATCTGCTAAGCAAATTTTTGGTTTTTAGGTTTTCACTTTCTGCATGCTTACTATTTAAAGAATGGTTTTCAGCTTGCCCTCCATCAGTAAACAGAATTTTCAGCATTTTGCACACAGTCTGCATTTAAAAATTTCTATTCTGCCCCAGGAAAGACCAAGAAGCTCCAGTATTGCCACAAAAGCAATTGAAAGTTAGCAATCTTATGCTTCAGTTAGTTACAACATTAGGTTAAGCATACTCATCAATTAATTGCATTCAACTTTGAAAGTTTTTACCTGATTCTGTTTGCAAGTTTTCTGATATTCGAAAACAATGCAGTTTGCTGAAGTTGCGAGAAAATAACTGCACACAGCTTGGAGGAAGAATCATATTCCTTAATCTTCCAAAAGTACATTCTGGTGTGACAATTATGTAGCAAGCAGCATGAGCCTATAAATAGAAGCATCAATTAAGAACTTAGTGAGACACAAAGCATATTTGTTTATAGCAAAACATGCACTGGAATTGCAAAACTCAGGCTAGGACATATATAGACCTTTGGTAAACCACTTTCATGAAATGAGTGACTCATTTTTGACCCCAGATTTTCATTTGTTTGATTTGGTTTTTATATAAGCAATCATGGGAGGTCTTAACATGTGAAGAAACTCCCCAACTACTACAAACCTGCTATATTAAAAACTAAAGGTTTTTATACAGCTGTGTGAAGAAATTTAAAGTTTTGGTCTCAAACCCTGGATCTTCCAAACTATACAGCTATCTACTGGGGGAGGTAGGAAAGGTAGGCAGGTTATACTGAATAACTTGAAAATAGCAGTATCCTCTTGCACAGCTGTACCCATTTGCAGATTCAGAGATAACGCAGTTTGGAGTTTTGTTCCGAAACCCAACTGGCTGGCTTCCACCTTTATGCTTGTGCGAGATCTTATGCCATTATTGAATACACATATCTTTGTATGCATGCCCATATGGCCTGTTACATTGCTTAGACTGTTCTCAAAGACAGCTCCTCCCACCTCAATTATGAATCAGATTTAAAATGCAAAACCCACAACATTTAAAAAAAATAAATTATTATTACAAATTATATTAGCATTATATTATAAATTATCATACCTGAAATACTCAGGTTTCATTTTAAATTATTATTACATAGAACACCTCATCTTGCATGAAATAGCAAATGAATGATTTATTACATATGCTTTTCAGATCCCACCCCATCTGGTGCTACTTTGCACTTTCATCGTATTTCAGTAAGAGGTAGCTTTAAGTGGATGGACCAATTGTTATCTACACAGCAGACTGTGTTATCTACACAGCATGTGAAAAGCTGTGGCTTTCATGAGGATTACTGAAGGGTACCATCACGTTGCACAGGAATTAAACATACATCATGTGAACGGAAAAACACAAAAACCAATATTGACAGCTTAAAAAAACACCAACCACACAGGTTAAGAACTCTTCTAAACTGAAAGAGGAATAAGCATACTAGAGTGGTAAAGTCTTTGACCTTGCAGAATTTGTACGATTTGAAAGAAATTCCAATTTCAAACAGGAAAAGTAACTGCAGGCTTCCAAGCAGAAATCTATAATAATTAGTCCCTGATGAATTTTAATTCCATTGGATTTATGTAAAGTTTAACTATAATTTTGAGAATTTCTCATTTTAATGACTAATGGGAGGGGTTTAAAAAAAATCACATTTTCCATCTAATGCATAAATATATATATTTATATAAAGAAGAGCACAAATTAATTGTATTTATGAAGTGTGTATTTCTAAAGTGTACAGAAAAAGTATACTTACATAAAGTCTAGATATGCATGTTCAAATAAGCACGTGCGTAAATATATATGTGGTTCCCCCAACTATAAGCAGCAGCACAACCTACCAGGATGCCACACCATTCACATCTCATGCCAGAGAGCACCTCCGAAGAGCCACAGGTTTTTTTGCAAACTTCACATCGAGCGCTGGAAGAAAGGTTTCCCTCCCTCCAGTGGTGGTGGTAAGTATCCTGGGGGAACACATCACAACTTAGCATTGCAGAAAACAGGTACAGAAGCATCTTCAACCTAACTTCAAAATCAGCATTTCAAACAGTTCTGAGGGAACAGCAATGCAGGCTAGGACAGTATTTTCTCACTATGAGTCTGAACAATCTTACATTTCACCAAAAGAAGTTTAAAACTATAAAAAAAAATATCACCTAGTGCCTTTTCTTCACAATCCACCTGAACCAATATCCTTTAAAAAAAATAATAATCCTGAAAGGTCAGTATGATGCATGTATTTTACAGTGAGAAGCTGGGCAGTTCCGCCTCAGACAGACCTCAGGAAGCCTGAGGAACATGATAATGTCCGCCAGGGATGCAATGCAGCCAACATAGAGAAAAATAAGAGTTCCGGGACAGCTTCTGCAATTCAGATTTTTACGTAAGATGCTTTAATATTTTTTTCTCTTTAACTGGGATGTTGTATACAATGCGCTGACTTTTCAGCTTCAATAAGCATCGTGAATGTGTCAGAATTTAAGTGCATCTCGCTATCTGCGACGCATTCTGAAGCCACACATTTCCTTTGCCCGCCATGAAGCAACAGAAGTGCTTTGACAATGGGCGGCATGCAAAAGAGAAGTCCCATACGCCCCCCTCTCCTCTACCCCGCGTTTTCACACCCAAAACGCAGGACCACGTTCTGCTGCAGAGGCGTCGGCACTTACGTGGTCCTGGTGCCCGTCCTGGTGACACTGCCGGCAGTCACTGCAAGCAAACAGGATACAGTCTGTGTGCACATGTAGCTCACAAACTAAAAGCGTGAAAACAAGAAAACTGCTGTAAGCTGGAAACCCCGGGGTTTTTGCAGCTCCCCCCTCTCTCCCTCCCTCCTTCTCCCCCTCTACCACCTCTTTGCACCACGCTTTCTTGCCTCCGTGCTCTTTTTTGTCGGGCAGAGCTAGGCAACAAAATAAGTTTATCAGCATTGTCCTGTGTGTTGCTCCACATCCTTTGTGTTAAACTGATGCAGTAAGTCTAAGAAATGGCTGAGCTAATTTTGCTCACACGCTCTTGCCTTTATTTCCTCCAACACAGCAAGTTATATTTGTAACAACTGTTTGGCTTACTAAAGCTTTGTCCCGCAGTTTCACAGGAACCGCTGCATACTCCAACGTAATCGTGCCTGAAGTCTACTTTGATTTAACCAAATTTTTAAAAAAGCTGAATGTTTGAAGCATTAACACAGAGAGACAGACACTCAATGTACTTGATTTTAAACCTGACCAGAATAAACTCGTACGCTAAACTCAGGGAAGATCTGTCCAAGCTATGTCTGCATATGGTGAATCATCATTTATTTCATTGTCAGGAAAAAGATAATAGTAGTTTTTTCAGCACAGTCTCCTAAGTAAGCTTAACATTGTCTTCCAAAATACCTGTTAGGTACAGTAGCTGGAAGAAGTTTTAGTGAAGCCTATAAAGTTTTAGGCAAGTTTGGGTTTGGATGAAGTACTTTCCTTATTTAAAAGCTGACTTGAAGCATCAGATGTGAAAGAAAAGAGAACCTACCCCAAAAAACTCTAGGTAAAGTGCTATGCTGCAAAAAATATTACAACTAAAAGACCTTCATTACTGCAAGAGTTAGGGAAGTTCTCTATGAGCCTCATAGACAGAGATGGATTAAATAGATCCTTCTCTAGCTGCTTTTTAAAGACTTGCACATATAAGCACTCTGGGAAGGCATTTGATTTTCTGTTGAGTACATGAAAGTAGAGAGCCGAGTGTCAAATTCTTCAAATATTTTTCTGTTCTGCTCAAACAGGTTATTGCTCCAAGCACATCACAAAAATCTGAAGACTGTAACCTGAAGACTGGAAGGTGGCAACTGCGTGTTAGCCACATTATCTGAAAGAATCTTGAAAACAGTATTAGATTACACAGAGAATACCTTATTTTGAAATCACTTTCTGGACTGGCGATCAGTGCTAACACCGCCTTATTCTAACCCCACAGAAGACCGTGACCTACCACCACACCAAAGCAAAGCCTCTTTTAACAGGGCTCACTAAGTCAACTGCTTTTATACAAGGTGTGACATGGTCCCTCCACTGCTCACAATTCTCTGTACTCACAGATATAACAGGAATATTTCACAGTTTTGCCAGTTCAGCCACCAGGCAAGCTAGATGCTTTAAGTGATCTGGTTTCTGTAGACCAAATTACAGCTTCAAGGAATTAAACAAAAGTGTTGGGTATTTTATCGTTACTTCTCCAAATGCAGGCACACACTGCCCTCTGCTATACTTTGTAGAGAACAGAGGTTTGGGGTTTTTTTCCCCTTGGTCTGATTCACATCTGCTGCTTCTAACATCACCCCCAACTCAGAATTAGTAAGAAAACATGTGCATGAGAGGGGCAGGAGTGTCATGGGAGTTAAACCCTTAAGACAGCTACCTCGCAGATAGCAAAGGCATGTAAAGATCAAGTCAAATCAGAGGGCTTACAAAAAGAACTTTAATCTTTAACAGCCCTTCCATAATCTACGCAACTTTCTAACTTGTAACAGGATGACAGTTTTCTGTTCAAGCTCTTCATGAAAGTGCTGCAAATTCCTTTATTGTTGCCAAAAAACCAAGTTGGTTAATTTCAGGTACATAAGCTTGGCAGAATAACCTTTAAAATGTTAACTGCCTCCCTCCCCCAGTAAATTTGCTGCCCCCAAATGTAATGCTTAATATGAAACTTTTGTAAATGATCCAACACTAAAAAAAAATTAATATATTTGGGTTACTCCCTTTCCTCTTTTTTTTCTCTCCAGCCCTTCTTCCTGGAGAGAAAAGGGAGAGCAACTCTCCAAGGTTCAACTGTTACCAGAGAATTCTACAGCAAAAACAGCTATCCAAAGCAATTAGTAATTTTCAGCAAAATTTGGAGTCCAAATACTATAATTTTTGCCAATGAAGTGTATGTACTTATCTCACTAGGGGTTAATACACATGCATGCTCCTTTCTGAGAACAGATGCCCCACCATGCACCCACAGAGTTTAGTACTTTTCTGAACATTTTCAGCTTCCTTTGCAGAAAATTTATCTTATTGTAAGATACAGAGTCCAAAACAAGTTATTTATATTATTTTAAAAGTACATCTAATTATGTACTAATTATGCATCAATCATTTGTTTAGAAAAGGTAACTTCACCTTAACCCTCTTTTCTCTCTCAATTATGGCAAAGATTCCAGGAAAAGTTCTTTAAATTCCAGTATCAGAAGAGAACATCATACCCAACACCAGGCTTGTACTACTAAGCAAGGAAGTAAGAAAATAAAAGAAAAAGTTCAACATCTCCATCTGGATTTAAAAGCTCGACAGCTTGAAACAGCTGACTTCTAAGACAAATTCCAAAGGTATTTTTGAAGAGTGAAGGAAGAATCTTGTGCATTTGATGAAGCTCAACTGCCCTTTTAAAGCTACATTTTGGGAAAGTATCAGAGAAACAAGTTGCAGGCTTATTGGTATTCAGAAAACGGGATAGCAAACAAGTCACACCACACAAAACAAGAGAACTGTTTAATCCATGCAAGGCACACAATTCAGAACCTTCACTGAACCAAAAAAAAAAAATGTCAGGCACTTTTAATACCTAAATGTAACATGGGATTTCATGTGTTTCTTGTTTAAGAATGAAATGGAAACTTAAATGGAAACGTCTGAAAAAACAAATATTCCCTTGCAACGGGTACAACACTAATACAGTTAAGAAAGTGAGAATATGAAAGCAAAACCTATAAAGCTTTAACTAAAATAGATCACTAAAGAAAAGGTATTTTCAAGAGTTAAGAGGACATAGCTAGCGAAAATATTATTTTCAAATTCTCTATGTTTGTCTCATGCCACACAAGTTCTGAAGCTTATGACGACAGGTCATCAGAAAAGACTGTGTGGTATCTGGAGCTCTCTGACCATCCCACCAAACCATCCAACTCACATGGTAACCACATTAAGTGACAGATTCCTGCTAGTCAGAAGAACATAGTTTAGATTTATTATACAACTCACCAGACAAAAGCAGGAACAAAACCACTGCACCCTTATAAGTGTAAATGCCCTGATCAAAGAGAAGTGTTTCCCCTACACCTAGGTGAACCATATTAAATAAGACATTATATTTATCATAACAATTTTGAAAACATCTCAAATCCCTATATAATTGGTTCTTCCCGCAGGAGACTTTCTTTTTTTTTAAACAGTTCACGGGTAATATTCCTTTATAATACTAAATTCTATTCAACCTCACAACATCAAATGTACAACAACAACTAGACATTCAAGACTGGAGACACGGGAGAATTAAAGAGTTGCCCCATGTCAAAATCAGTTAACAACTCAGGCCAACATGTATTTTAATGAAAAATTCTGGTGTTTGGGTGATTTCTCTAATTACTGTTTTTTCAGAGAATCTGTGTCAGAACACTCAGAGCAGTACTATTTTGACAAATAATATTTTCAAATATCTTTCCATTGAAGGCATGTCATCCCCATTACAAGCAACAGATAGTTGAGACCAGTAACACAGGAAAGTTATATTCCATTCTTTTTCAGAAAGGCAGAGGTTTTAGAAACATGAATACCTGATGATTCCCTGTACCAAAAGCTTCTATCAGAAACAGAAATAATTACCTCAACAGGAGAAGTCTTTCTTTTGCCATAATAGCCTCTCATTCTTTATACATCTCAGGCTTGAATTCATTGCACACCATTTACACTTGCCCAAAGTAAAGATGAAAGAGCATACACGTTTGACAAAGCCTGTGGTTAATTCAAGTTTATTGGTTTATTATTCCTTAATTTGAAGAACATGTTTCCACCATCAGTGAGAAGATGATAAACAACCCAAAAATGTCTCAAACACGGTAAGCGTGTTTATGTGTGTGTGTACGTGTATACGTACGTAACCTCAAAGGTATGCAATGTAAGCCACGGTAGGCTACTGTATAACACACAGATGGATATGCAAGTAGGGTTTAAGTTACCTTCACATCGAAAGGCAGGTGACTCTAGTGACTTTCTGCACACAGTGCAAAACTTTCTCTTGTAATGTCCTGGAGGCCCAAAACAGTGTGCAACTGGAACCTGCCAATGAAGAATGCATAACACATCATCAGCCACAACTTTCAGAGTGCCAGTTACAATTCACAGAAACTGCTTTATCATGCAAGACAGGACAGTATATACAACATAAAGTTAACTAAGCCTGTAAGCAAAATGTAGAGGTAAACCATGCTTTTTTAAAAAAAATCATACTTAAGAAAATATTTAAAATACTTTATTTTAATTTCTTTTTTAAATTCTTGGCTTTTAATATGTAATTATGTATTTGCCACTCAGCTTCTTGATGATTCACAGTGCTGTGAATGCAAAGCTTTATTTTGGGTTCAGCACCATGCAACTTACCTAGAATCACAGTTTTTCTCCTAGTATTCTTAATTGAATCAAGGTTGATTAATAGTTTTGCACATGTATACAACAAACCTTAAAGACACACTCTCCACGTGCCTTTCAACTCTTCTCCAAATAGAGCCCAACTAACTGGCTGACCAGGATAAAGGCACTGGTCTCTCCCCACACACTCAAAGCTTCCACTCCCAGATGGTACAGAGACCCAGCTCTCGAAGTACATCCACACCAAGGTTCCTGTTGATCGCAGACATTTCAATATCCTCTTGCCAAGAGATGTACCAACAGTTTCAGTAACTACATTTCTAGTATACTATTCACTTATCCTAAAAAGGTAGTGTTTTTTTCTTTTTTAGTGGTTAATATGAACACTGGAAGTGATCTTACCAAAAGAGCAACAAAAGAAAAGATGAAAAATGAGGAATAAGGAACATACTTGAGCTTTATACTTGTTCTAGAGACCACTATTCTACAAGACACACACCTTTGTTAAATTGACATTCACATTAGAAGGAAGAAGCATAATTGCATCTTTAAAATTCAGAATCAAATAACTTCCACAAAAATTTACCATGACTTAGGTATTTAGTTTTATGCATCTCACATGTCCTTCCTGATATGACAAATACATCAGATTTACCTTCTGGCTCTTGCATCACAGAAAAAATGTATTGACAGTAAAGGCTGACAAATGGTTACTTAGGTGTGAAATGAAATTAATCATTCGCGGTAAAAAGTTGGAAATAATGACTTAGGATACACATAGTCGCAGATAGCTTCTTTTCCTCCCAGTAAACAAGCTTCCAAAGATATTGAGCAGGATTTTAATTTTTTTCCTTGTGTATTAGGGTTTTCCTGGGAACCACTAGCAACAAATCTGACACATACTGGGAACACAGAATTTGATGACCCACAAGTCACTTCTAGTTATAAAGGTCTAATTTGCACCAGACTCTGAAAGTGTGGGACAGCTATACTAAACAATCCTGTATCTCAAGCATGCACAATGAAATAAATGAGATAAAGTTTTGTCAGATGCAACACAAGGAGAAAGGAACCCTGCTGGAAGCTTAATCAAGAAAAATCACTGAACCCCAAACTGCAAAGCATGTGGTTCCTCCAGCCTCCTTAGAATCCTTTCAGGGGGCAAAGGAGGATGAGGAGAGGTACAAAACATGCCTGTGTTACCAGACACAAGATCATGCACAGCACTTGAGCAGTCAAGCACAGTCACCAGCTCATTGCCCCAGCAGACCATGTTGTCTTGGTCCCTAACTGACCAGGAAACTGCCTGCCCAGCTCCCAGGCTCCCCACCACGCTGGGCTGCCAGCCAGCCTACCGGAAGGATTTCCTATCAGTATCTCCAATGTGATATATTACAAAACACCATTGCCTCCAAAAGCTTCAAATTTTTACTTTATGTACAAGTTCAGGATTTAAAAATATGACAAGTCACGCTTTGGGGTCTGTCACCTACTCCTATCAACTCGAACAGAAATTTAATTCTCTGCAGCCCTCCAGCTCTAAATGACACAAATTTCATGGTTGGCTCGCACTATTTTATTTTTTTTACATCAGAGTTTTCTAGTCATATAATGCATACTTATAAAAAGAATATATATCGTTGGAGAAAAAAAATGCTGGAGAGCCTCAGGACCTTAATCAAACTATCTCAGGATGAGTTCAAGGCTCGTAATCCCTGCCCTTCTTTCATCTACTGCCTCAGGGGTAACAAAAATACCAAGCCTCCTTGTCCAGTAACACAGAAGTTATTCTGGCTCAGCTATTCTGCAGGTGAAATGCCAGAGCTGCACTCTCGCTCTAGCCACTCTAAACATCAATGTCCAATCCCAGTTTGGTGGGAGCAAGCAACTTTCCCAAAATTCTTCCTACACAATGAGCTCAAGTGCAGGCCAAGGTGAGAATGGCCAGGTGAGCACAATCCCAGCCAGACACGGCAACTGCAGGGAGTACTGAAAAGCCCTGCTGGGATTTTTTTTTCAGGAAAACTCACCTGTGCATCCCCAACCTTTCTTCAGGTTTCAAGCATCACCTTCAAGTCACCTGCCCAGCCAGCCATCCCCAAGGCAGCAGTGTTCCCAGGGTGAATAACCTGCCTCAGACACCCAGGATGAGCATCCGACCCCCTCAGCAACCCATGACTGAACCACAGAGAACTTTTCTTTCCCTGGTCTGGAGCTTGGCTATTTTATCTTAACACCTGCCATAGAAAGGCAGGTTTTTTGTTACTGTCACAGAAAGGTTCTGCTGAAGAAAAAGGACACTGTAGACTAAAGGATCAAAGTAGAGTTTTGTGAAAAACAGCGTTTATTTTGGGAAATATTGTGAAAAAGTGCTTTGGCAAGAGTCAAACTTATTCAGGCTCTGCCTACTTATCTAGAAGACTCAAAGGAAGAAGACCAAGTCTGTATTTTTCAGCTCTTCAGGACCCTGGTGACAATCCTCTGAAGTCTCAAGTCACTGCCAAAAAGAAGGGAAGGAAACAACTTGCTGATTTAAATGTTGGGTGGAAAAAAAAAAGTATCTGGTTCCTTCAACTTCTTTCCTTCTGAAACAAGCCAAAGAAACTTTATTATGACTGGTCTTTCTAGCTTGCTTTAGAAGTGACAGGTATAAAACCACTGCAGAGCCCGGTGGGAAATGGGATGGGAATGAGGTAGAAAAAAAGAAAAGGTAAAAGAGCAAGTACAATATAACAAACTCATCGATCACATCACGTTCCTCCTAGCAGCTCCCTACATTTCTTTTGTTGCTGAACAAGTTCCAAGCATCCAATACATTAAAAAAAAATAAAATAAAATCAAAACTCAGACTGGGAAAGCCAGTAAGGCAACATGTCAGAATATGAAATGTTATGTATTGCTCTTTAATTTATATCCACCTGTATAAGTACAGCAAAGTACAGACACATAACATGGCCTACAGAGAGAAAGTTAATAATTGATGAGTCTAAAACTGCTTTTCCAATACAACTACTTAAATGACTTTATGCAAACCACTAAAATCAATTTCCACAGAAAAATACAGAAAATTTCTGCTAGTAATAGCATTAAATGACATCTAATTGCCCTTACAGTATTGATCAGAAGCCCATTGACAGAAAGTATATTGGTAATACTCCAGCGTAAGCTCCAGAATGACTTTGCACTCATGGACAAGATACTCCTAGTTTCTATTTTGTTTCCTGCCATTTGTTAAGAAATCCAAAGCATTACAACATACACACTTCTGTAAAAGTTCATATTAGCCTGTAATAAAATTTGATCCTTTAGAAACCTAAAACTTAAGATTCTAACCCCTTTAGTGCAATCTGTGCAAGCACACAGCAGTTCTGCATCATACAGAAAGAACAGCAACAAACTGTTCTTAACTTCTAAACTTTGGAAGAAAAAGAAAGGATAGAATTGTTTTCTTTCCATAGTGGCTTTCAAAATCATTTCTTATCCTGAAATGCCACAGGGTATAAAGCGTGTGGCCAAAAGCAGATCATGAATTTAAGTGCTCTTGGAATCACTACGTACAGAGCAGCCCAGCTACCACCCAAACCCTCTGGTTTGCAGATAAAGTCAGATCAGGTCAAGTCTTACTGGTCCACAACCTTCTGGATACCTCACTAGAGAAAAATACAGCTCTGGGAAGGCTTGTTCTTCACCCAGTTGCAGCTGCTTTTCTATCAAGTCAGGCAGAAGAAAGTCTTTGGCCTGAATCCTGAGTCAAAGACTTCCAGGCTCAAATGGGAATGAAAGAAATACAGATATACCAAATGCCAGAGTGACAGCTGCTTTGGCAGTCTTAAAAAAGAACAACCTACTAAAAACTTTTCCTGGGCTTGTCTAAATATTATCGTGGCCACGCATCTCCATCCCCACCACATTGCACTTGGCAGAACTTTGTAAAACTCACCGGAGAGACTGAAAAAGCAGGGCTGAAGGACCTACAGTGGTGTGGGGCTGATCAGCTTCCAAGTAGGAAACGGGACGTAGAAATAACAATAGAAACACAACAACCTCCAAAGGTTGAGCAAAAGGCATTTAACTTAAGGTCACTAGTTTTCAGTCTAAAAACACTGCAGCACTTTAAGCATAAGCACAGCCAGCCTGGAAGCAACCATCTTCTGAAATGCCCACAAGGGTAGTCACACACACAAGGTAGCTCTTTCACAAAACTGTTCTCAACATTAGTCAAAAAAATCCTGCTGATACAAATTAAATGGTGTTCCTGAAGCAAGAACTACTTCTATGGATTCTGATGTTTCAGGTGCAGAAGTCCTTCCTTATCTAATGCTCCTAAGACTGACACCAAAAAAACCTTTGCTCCAGAGAGGTAGATAGGCTGATCACATCTGAGTACACCCCATGATTATTCTGTCCTGGCTAATTAAGTGTCTAGACCACACCCTCTCTGAGAGAAGCTAACAACCTTGCGATTCAACTTTTCCCAGTATTGACATCTTTTCTATTACTTACTTATTACTCAGTAATCACAAAGAGCCCTTTTATTTGCTTATGACCTGTCTCCCTTAGTAGCAAAAGTACAACTTAAATACACTTGAACACACTCCGTTTCTATGTTTTCCTTTTAGGGATAACGCCTGTTAATTACTTGTCAGCTGTGTCCAAATTGGCATTCTTCCCCTGAGCACTTGCTATATCAG